TTCCGCTGATGTTAGTGTTCTTCCGTGGAATTCTGCTGACGTCAGCTTGTTCTTTGCTTTTCAAATGACCGTTTCGTGCGTTCGTTCGTGCCGTGCCTTCGTGCCTTTTTCGTGGAAATCGAAAGATCGAAAAAGACTGACAATGGCGCTTTGCGTTGCGGCTGTTCAAATGGCAACACTGATTAACTGGTGTTATTTGAAGCAATACGCTTGTAGTGGTGACCCTTGTGGTCGTGTGGGTACCCTTGGAAGACTGGGAAGTGGGCTGGAAGTCGAGTTTCGACCTGTCGGTCGAAACGACCTTTCGGTCGTTCGGATCACCAGAAATCGATCGTTTCGTGTACAAAAGAGAGATCGGCAATGGTGGTAACAATAGTAATGATGATAGTAGTAGCATGCGGTAGCATTAGAAGCGGTAGCAGGGCTCATAACCTGTCGGAGGACTCTACGGCTAGTAACTTGATAACAAAGAACTAGAATGAAAAGAGTGAGAGGATCGCTAATCGATCCTCTGTGGCTACCGGTTGACTGACAGACTGTAAGTCGCGTGACAGCAAGCAATTGAATCTGCTCTACAAGGAGTATTGGAAGACTGTTCGGACTCCAACAGTGGTTTGGATACCGGCATCTCGTTATTTAATGAAGAAGCGTTCATCCACCAGCACAGATACATTCTGTAGGGTTGCGTTTCAGAATGTGGCATGCGCGGAATACTGGCTACGTGACGACACCCCTGGCAAGACTCCCAAGCACTCTGAAGTTTGCGGGGCAATCGCAAGAGTTGGGAATTTCGCACTTCTGCGATGGGCGCGAGACCAAAAAGGTTTCTCTTGGGATGCAAAGACATGTGAAGCTGCTGCTGCTTCTGGACGGTTGGACATTCTCCAATGGGCCAGGGAGAATTTTTGCCCGTGGAATGCGGAAATTTGCACCAAAGCTGCTTTTGGTGGCCACCTAGACATTCTGAAATGGGCTCGTGAGAATAACTGCCCATGGAATGCAGGCGTAGGCTGGGGTGCTGTTGAAGGCGGACATTTTGAGATGCTGAAATGGGCCCACACCAATGGATGCATGTTGTCATCAATGACATGTGCAACAGCTGCTTCGAAAGGACATTTTGAGATTCTAAAATGGGCCAGACAAAATAATTGCCCATGGAATGTTACTACATGCACTGATGCTGCTGGAAGTGGCCATTTAGAAATTCTCGTTTGGGCTCACGAGAATGGGTGTCCCTGGAATGTATACACAAGTGCTGCAGCTGCCAAAAGTGGGCATCTTCGTGTATTGACATGGGCAAGAGACAACGACTGTCCTTGGAATGCATTGACTTGTGCAAAGGCTGCAGAAGGTGGGCATTTTGAAATCCTCAAGTGGGCTCATGAGCAAGGGTGCCCATGGGATGAACAGACATGCATAAATGCAGCCAAATGGGCCATCTGGACATTCTCAAATGGTTGCTGCAGAACGAGTGCCCATGGGATGGAACCACCTGCTCTGCAGCTGCCGAGGGTGGGCATTTAGAAACTCTCAAGTGGGCTTGGGAGAACAGATGCCCTTGGAATGAGAATACATGCATGTCAGCTGCTGCCAATGGCCATTTGAAAATCCTTAAATGGGCGCATGACCATGGATGTCCATGGGATGGAACCACATGCTCTGCCTCTGCTCGAGGGGGGCATTATGAAATTCTCAAGTGGGCTCGTGGCAATGTATGCCCATGGGATGCAAGGACATGCTCTGCTGCTGCCCAAGGTGGGTACCTTCAAATCTTGAAATGGGCGCGGGAGAATGGATGCCTGTGGGATGAAATGACGTGTTCTAGTGCAGCTGGAGGTGGTCATTTTGGTATCCTGAAATGGGCCAGAGCAAGTGGCTGTCCTTGGGATGCAGCCACATGCTCAGCTGCTGCATCAGATGGGTATCTTTACATTGTTCAATGGGCCCGTGAAAATGGCTGTCCTTGGGATGCACTCACAATCACTTGTGCTTCCGCATCAAACCATTTGGATGTTGTGCAATGGGCTCGTGAAAATGGCTGCCCAGAGCCACAGTTTGGGTTCTAGCTGGTGGTGGCTTGCTAGGAAGATACCGGTGCGGTATGAATATTGCATTGCTTGAATGCAGGATCTCTGAAGCTTTTAATTCGTACGGTGCAGTACGGTGCGCGCAAAAATTGTCAACGAAAATTGTCTGCAAAAATACCAAAAGGCTGTCCACAAAGGCTGTCCACCGATACTTCAGAAGTAATACTTTACAATATACTGAAAGCGTTCGGGAGCAGTGTTGAGCAGACTGAAAGTGTTCGGCAGAAGTGTTCCCAAATTTGCAGAGGAATGAGATTCTCAGCTTGTCTTTTGAGTCGTAGTAGATAGAATTTCTTCACTTCTTCCAATTCTTTGCCGCCCTGTTGGGCGAGTACTTTAGAATTCTTCCTCTCCTCTGGCTGCCCTCCCAAAAGCTACTGGTAGCCCCCGGTAACCTTCCCTATCTACGAGAATGCAGCCTCCGCTGGCTTGCCTTGGAATTCAAATATTGATGCTAAACTCGTTTTAGCATTGCGTCTATCGTGCCTCGTTTGGCTGCAGGCCAATGCCACGGTCCCCTACCAGCGTTTCTCCTGACCTGCGAAATACCTGCCGACAATATTATGCCGTCCCCACCCTACCGGGTCTACGGTTCCTCCATCAAGGCTCGCATTCGGGATAGCGTATCCAAAATGACATTGTGCTGTGTAGCCATCAGATTCGGTTTATTGGGGATTGACCCCACCTTGCGAATGTCATGAATCTTGTCTTTGAAACATTCCGGGCGTGCCAGTAAACTGTCATGGATATCGGCAAAGGCGACCACGCGGTCTCCATAAACACTTTTTTGCGGACGGTCAATGTTGGCCCATTCTTGTTCCTCGGCGGTTTCATTGTGTTGGAGTATCTGAAAGACTTGTCGTGAAAACGTCTTATTGTGGGCATTGCCCCGATCATCCGGAATGGACCATAGATTGCCAACATCCACGTTGGCACACAAACTGGCCAATTTGCCTTGATGCTCGTCCACAATCCGTTGTCGTAGCAATGCATTGAGCCACAAGATGTTGTGATCCGTATTGTCGACTTTATCGTAAATATGCTGCTGCACGGGTGTGACCCCGACCCATAGCAATTTGTGATTTGGATGTACAATGGCCAGCTGACAGACCATGCGTGTCAAAAGGTCGGCCACGGTTGGGACATTGTATCCCCGCACGACGGTGAATTCGTGTTGATTGTATGGATTTCGTTGAAAGAGTTGATGGAGTCCTCCCGAGAAGAGGAGTACTCGATGGTGGTTGTTTTCTTGTTGTTGTTGCTGCTGCAACGATGCTGTTTGGTTTCGCAGTTGTTCCATCAAGTATGTGGGCCATTTGGAGTGCATTACAAACCCTCGGCCGAATTCGACATAGTGATGAAAGGGATCGCCTATTTCGAGAACCTTTCCCGGCATGGTGGAGTCTCCGATCCGCAGTACCTCGTAATTGTCTGGTTTTGGTTGATGAGGAAAGGAAGAGGAAGGTTGACAGTGGACGGAACTCCATTTGGCATTGAGAGTGATAAAGTATGGATTGCTGTAGTCATTCTTGTGTTCTACCCACAAGGAAGTTGCTGGATTCGTGTAGTCGTCCATTCCCTGTTGTGAGTTTTGACAGTATGGTTGGTGTGTGGAATAAAAGTAGGTACTGTGGTGGTGGTGGTTTATTGCTTTGGATTGATTATTATGGAGAAATGATGATGGCAGGTGGTGTTTTAGCAGCTGATCCAATGCTGCATTGGTCAACTTTTGCGGTCCCCATTCGACCTTGGAAAAGTTGTATCCCGGTTTGTTGGGCCCCAATCCCTGATAGCAAGAATAAAAGTGAAAGAGCTCTAGTGTGTATTGCTGGACCCCTTGTCGTGGCACAGCAAAGAGAACTCGGTAGGTGCCAGAATTCAAATCCATAGCTGGATGAGCTTGTTTGTAGGCAGTGCCGTCGTGAGTCCACGAGATCAGAATGAGTACAAACTCATCTCCACCAGTGTGGCTTTTGTTGCCGTGCTCATTCATGGCGGGAAAGTCGATTTGCAGTTGGACAAAGGGACTGCTTGTATTGAGAAGGGGCTTCCATTCCACGTGAGCATTTGCATGAAAGGCAGTCGCTGTGGGTCCAATGCTAGTAGTAGTAGATGCCTCACAGCCGAATGGTTCTCCCTTAGCTTTCCATGTGGCAACCGTTTCCACGATGGAAACATCCGCGACACCATTGGCAGAACTACGAGCATTCTTTTCTGTGGTGGCTTGAACCATTACCCGAGAAACCCACGCTTGGACTTGCAGAGAGGCCATACAGCCGAAGAACACGAGGAGACAAACACTCAGCAAGCTGCGCCATCGGCGAGGAAACTTCATCGCTACCGGTACTACTTGCTGTTGTGGCTCTTGTTCTGGGCCATCGCGGGATCGTTGCGATTGCAAGAGGCGTACCATCGGGTGTTTTCTGTCGAGCAACGACAATTAATTTATGCGTGATTTGTGAGCAGGGTGTTCGGCTTGCCGAGATTCAAGGGAAGACCCTTGACTCACCGCTTGTCCATGCAGCCTTGCCGTTTCGAAATCGCGGTTAGATATGCAGTAGAGTTAGAGCTGCAAAGATTCCTCCAAGCTCGAGCAGCTCCCTTTTTAATGTCAAAACGGCCATTTCAAACTTCGAGGTTGTTGTTGTCGACCATGGCTCAAGTTCCTGCCAGCAGCGAAAGCCACACCACCCTTGATCGCTACCTCGCACTGATTCCACGAGGATTAGAGCATGCCGCTCGTGAAAACCTGCTGGAAGTTCTTTCGGACTTTTCACTGCGGCTAAAAGTGGTGGGCGAAGTGGTCTCCGATAATGATAATATTGCCCACATTTCCAATGTTCTGCAACGCAAAAAGGACAAGAACAAGGATATTATTATGGAGAGCTGTTTTGGAGGGTTTGCCGTCGGATCCATTCACGAAAACAAAAATAACTGGAGTGTGGGGTATATACAACAATCCAAGCCCACATGGTCTTGTTCGGGTGTCATCCATGGAGTAGTATGGCTCCAAATAGAGACCAATGCTCCTGCTCACCTCATTGCCAACCGTGTACGATGTCTTGGTCCCATCATTGCCTTGGTCAATATATGGGAACCTATCGATATGCCTGCATCTCAGTCTCTGGAGCAAGCGGTAGCTTCGGTAAAAGCTCTCGTGGACTCTGACTCGCAGCAGGAAGGGGACTATTCTCAAGCCTTTCTGGCTGCCAGAACCTTGTGGTTCCGCCATGTCCAAGCTGCTTGGAATCTGCCGGAAGAAGACCTAAAGGCTCTCGACAATAAACTAAAGGGCACTGCCGCCATGAAATATCGACTCAGTTGCATTCGCTCTGATTCGGAAAAGTACCAATACACACGACAACAGCTCTTGGCGCAAACGGCTGGCATTGTGGTACCCAAAGTGCAAGGGGAACCCTGGACTGTGGATTTGACCAAGTATGATCTGGAAGTGGTTGTTTTGGCACATCCCAAAGCACTCGCCGTGGGAATAGCCTTGAGACCCTACCAACACTTGGGAGTCAAATCGTTCGCGACGGGGGCCATACCGCCCGATGTCACGGCACCGGTGCTTCCCGGAAGTCTTGTCGCAATGATACGTGCGACCCACCACGGCACAGCTACTTCTTCAATTGGCAAAGCTAGAACCAGGAGATGTGGTCTTGGATCCGTGTGCGGGGGTGGGGACCATTCCCATGGAAGTCCTCTTTCAAGAACAAGATGCCATTGCTGTGGGGGGAGATATTGCGTTGACGGGGTTGGGGGGCGTGGCTGCCGAATATTCCACCAGAGCGCATGCTCTCAGACGAGAACGTTACCCTAGTCACAGTGCTCGGTATGCCGATCAAATGGCCTGGGATGCCACCTGTTTGCCGCTGAGAGATGCAACTGTGGATGTGCTCGTGTCAGATCTCCCATTTGGGGTGCAGGTAAGAATCGTTCCTCGTTAGTGGTTGGCTCTGTTGATAGATAGAACAGGACAAGGAGCGCTGACTTGTCTCTCATGAATAAATCTGGACAACTACCTGCTCTCAGTGTCTTTCCAAGGCAAAACTGGACAGTGTTCTTCCTCTCATGTTCTCCGAGTTTGCCAGAGTACTGCGGCCTCGGACAGGACGTCTAGTATTGCTTTGTGGCAATTGTGTTCCGATAGTGAGAGTTCTCCACCAGCTCAACACTGGTAAGGATAGTATGTCTTCTGCAGCAACAGCGGAAGATATTATTTCGATGCCGTGTGATTCTGTATTCCCAGTCAACATTGGCGGTCTAATGGCATGGGTTGTCATCGTAAAGAGGGATAATGGTCCACCTCGGGAGTTGCCAAACTACAAGGATCGCGTTCGCAAGGTCGCTGGGAAGCGAGAACGAATAGAACGATGCAAGGCAAACGACAAATCAACCAAGAAACGAGGAGTCCATCAGTCGTAACCAATATACCTATTATTAAGCCATGGTCTAACCGTTACGAATTAGGGAAAGTGCCATCTCCTCTTGAGCCTTCAGGTCGATAGACTCGTCGTCACTGCTGCTGCTGCTTTCGTCATCGCCGCCTGCATCCGAGGGTCCATTGCTACTACTGTCATCGTCGTCATCAGCCGTTCCCAACACGACCGCAGGTCCCTCATCAGCATCCTCTTCGATATCTCCTTTCTCCTTTAGTCGGCGTTTCTTGTGCTTCTGGCGAACGCGTTCCTTTTCCTCGGCGCGATCCAGCGACACGGTGCTCTCCAAACGCTTTCGCACCTTTTGAATAAACTCTTCATTGGCTTCCTTGAGGCCTTCCTTTTCTTTTTGAACTTTCTTCGCAATTTCTTCTGGTTTCTGTCGCAAGAAAGCTCTCGTATCTTCTACTTGGCCGTCGTCGTCAAACGTGATATGCTTATTGGTGGCAGAATTGGATCCGTCAATTCGAATGCTCTTGGGATGACGTGTCTTTTTGACAGTTTCCGTGGGTACATCATTCTCATCCTCACTGCTACTGCTGCTGCTGTCATTGTCGTCGTCATTGTTCCACTTGCTGGCCTTTTTGACAATTACGTCGTCCTCACTATCTTCACCCTTTTCTTTCACTTCGGGTGCACTCTTGCCAAGCTTTTTCAGTCTCTTGGCCAACTTTTCGGCCTTGATTTGCTCCTTCAATTTTTGGAGCTTTCGATTGACATTTTTGCCTTCTCGATATTCCGATCGGTCCTTGGCCAGCGCCTTGAGGAACCGACTGGTATTGGGGATTGAATCCACGCCCAAACTCTCGCCGTATGCTGCCAGTGGCAAATCCTGAACATTGAAAATGTCTCGATTGGGCATGAGATAGATGGACCGGAGATAGGATTGGTACGCCTTTTTAGCCAACTTGAGTAGATTGGGATTGCTCGCCACCATGGAAGCGGCGCGTTTGGTGACAACCACTGTTTTGTCTGGATTGATGCTCAATCGATTGAGCTGCAGTTTTTGCTGCTTGCCCTGATTCAAGTAGTCAATGTATCCCTTTTGATCTTCTTGTGGCGTCAAAATCAAGAGAGATTTCCCTCCTGCCTTGTATCGTGCCGTCCGGCCCACTCGATGAATGTACATGTCTCTATCTTCGGGTGCATCGACATTGACGACCCAGTCGACGGCTTTAAAGTCGAGTCCCCGCGACGCAATGTCCGTGGCAAACAAGACGGCATGAGGTCGTTGGAGGAAATCAAAGTAGATTTGTGTTCGTTTGGTTTGTACCAACTTTCCATGCAATGCCATGACGACGACACCGGGTCTCAGTGAGCAAAATAGTTCCCAGGCATGTCGGACTTGTGCACAGCTCGCCATAAAGATGATTGTTTTGGATTTGAGATGTGTTTTGATAAACGAGTATACCGCATTCAATTTGTGCTCGAGTGGTACGACCACGTAGGATTGTTTCAATCCTTCGGGAGTGGATCGTTTTTCCTTATCGTGTACACCGAGATATTCTGGTTTGTTGAGACTCAAAGTGGCCAATTGTTTGACATTGTTGGTTTGTGTTGCCGAAAAGAGGAGTGTTTGTCGTCTATGAGGATCTCCCTCCACCACGGGGGGAAGACACTTGATGATTCGTACCAATTGATCTCGGAATCCACTGTCGAGACAGCGATCGGCTTCATCTAGCACCAATACTTTTAATTCGGACATTTCAAAATAGGGTGTTTGTTCCAAGTGTTGCAAGAGACGACCGGGTGTTGCAATGATAATGTTGGTCCCTCCAATCATTCGTTGTTCTTCGTAAAAATCCTTTTTGCCTCCAATCAAGAGTCCCACGGAAAAGGCATGATGCCGCCCTACTTGTCGCAAGACTTGGAATATTTGCATGGCCAGTTCTCGTGTGGGAGATAAAATGACAGCGCCACAGCCATCGGCCGGAGCAAACCGATGACGATAGAGGGTTTCCAGGACGGGAATCAAAAAGGCCAATGTCTTGCCACTGAAGAAGAAAAAAATGAAAAATGCCAATGAAGGTGAGCAGTGATGAATAACGAGAAACAAGAAAGATGGACACGACAACAAGAGACCCACCTTCCAGTTCTAGCAGCTCCCAGAATATCTCGCCTAGCCAATGCATGAGGAATGCAAGCATTCTGAATGGCAGTCATGGTGGTGAAGGGTGCCGGCTTGGCCTGTTCCAATCCTCTCAGGGTAGGCTCCGACAAGGGCAACGCCCGAAAGGCCACTCGTTGTTCCAACGGGGGCGCATAGCCTCGGGCAGGTGCTTCTTGCTCAATGCGGGCTGCCAATGCCTTCAGTTCCGCGGCAATCTGTTCCGATTTCTTCATGCGGGAGTTGTTGCTTCCACCAGTCTTCTTCTTCTTGTCCTTATTGGAAGACGGCGCCATGGTTCGATAATACAGTAGTCAAGAATGCTTTGACTTCCAATAGAGTAATGCTACCCCAGAGGCTTGGTCTCAAGTACTGGTATGCAGAAGAAAAGTTGTTGCTCTGTTTTTCTTCCAAAAATGAGTGGTGACGGATTTCTCGTGATGCCAACCATACGGTAGGGTTAAGTTAAGGTTTTTGGTGACGTTGAAGATCCTTTTGCGATCTTTGTCATTTTTTGTGCCTTTTTCTGCATTCTTTCATTCTTTCCTCGATCCTTTGTGTCCTTTGTTGGCGGTCTACGTTCTTCTTTGTAGATACCACAATTGCAAGCAACCCTTCACCATGGCGCCTCGTTTACTATCAGTCTCCTATCTCGTTCTTTCTGTAGCCCTCTTGATATCCTCAAGAAGTTGTGATGCCTTTTCAGCTCCCAAAGGTTCGGCTGCAGCTCCATTGGACAGAAAAAAGGTATCTTTTGATTTTTGAATTTTGGTTTTGCTCCTCGTGCGATCCTTGTGATCAACTAACTAATGCATTTCGTTGATTCTTTCTGGCGCTTATTTCTTCAGATTGCTGTCATTGGTGCCGGTGGTTATATGGGTGCCACTACCTTTGGATTTCTGCAACGAGCTGGGTCTCTATACGAAACGGGGATTGCAAAACAATGTCGATGCATCGGTGCCACGGCGGGAACCGCTCAGGCTCTCAACACATATCTTGGATCACACTTTATCCTGGCACAAGCCGACGAATCCTTTATCAAACTCACCAATATGCAGTTGGTAGAATCCATACAAAATTCATTGCAAGGATACGATGCCATCATTCTGGGAAATTCCATGGCGGTACAAAACCGACCCATCACGCCCGGAACCTTTGAAACTGGTCCCAACAGCAAAACACCCGAAATATTTTGGGATTTCTGTCGAGGGAATACCGTGATGCCGGAAACACAAGAAATTGTGGCGACCATTGTTGACAATATACTAGAGGCATGTCAGGGAGCACAAGTCAAACATGTCTTGGGAGTTGCCACGGGGGGAGGTGTTGACGGGTTCACGGAAAAGATCCAAGCATCTCGTATCCCTTATACAGTACTCCAATGTTCAGGGACATTGAGCGTTCTCAAAGATTATACATATCGAAAGGGAGTTCAAGGAAATTTGAAAGTAGTGACATCCGAAGGAACCAGTGGTGGTGGTGGTGAAATTTTGAGAGAAGATATTGCCGCCATGTGTGTCCAATGCCTCCAATCCCTTGACTGGGACCAGAGCCGCATCATCCAAGTCGAATCCACGGGACCCGTCGTCTTGAACGAACCGTCCCAAAAACGACCCGATCAAGAATGGTGTGTCAATTCTCATGTACTCGCTGGAAAGTTGCGGTCTGTTCAGTAGCCACCACTGTAGTTTTGCGAGCTAATATTATATAGAAACATATTTGATTCTAGCTAGATTCTAGTAGTATTAGGGCTATTTGCATGCTGCATCTACGTTTCTAATCAGAGCCACATTCCTCGTCTTTGGTGTCAAAAGAGTCTTCCTGCAGGCGGCGGCCGCTTTTGAAGTTGTTCTTGGCGTATTCAATGCAGGCTGGAGGCGGAGCTCGAAAGTTTCCGTCTTCCATTAGTGGAAGTGGCACAGCCAATGGTTCAAACTCCGCCAAAGAGGTTTCCGCGAGATCGCATTGCGGGGGGGTCGACAAGTCGTATTCTGTATAGAGAACATCAAGGGCAAGCATAGCGGCATCCAAAGCCGCTGTTGCCTCCACAACCTCCTGTCCAACAAGATCCATGAAAGGAGATGCTTCAGTCCCTGCAGACCAATAGTTCTGACGGAGTTCCACGCCATACTGGTTGTCGAGGTCCTTCAAAGTCTCATAGGCGTTGCGGAGTTCAGCGTTCAAACGTAGGGTGCTCCAAAGGTCCCCCTTTTCGAGCCAGAACTCGTATCGCTTCGCCGTTGGCCAGGCTCGGCCCATTGTTCCCGTGCCAGCAACTCCATTGTCGCCATACTTGGGGCCCTCCTGCAAACAGGAAAAGAGTTCGTCATTGTCAGCTCGCTCAGAGGTTCTGCAGTTTAGATTCAATGTTGTGGAAGAAGTGACAGCATTGTGGGCCTTGAACAAATAGAGCATCAAAGAGTTTCCATCAGTAATGGAAGCTAGCTTGGCACGAAGAGAGCCATCACTTTCTCCGGCACCTCCCGCAAAGAGGTATTCCAGAGGATATAGATTGGACTCGGACTGCGATGGAGAAAGCGTGTTCTCCAATCCGAATGTCTGCCAATCCCGATCATTCCTAGACACACGAGACATGAAGTGTTCTCGGCAGTATGGGCAAGGATGGGTAGTCCCAAAGTATGCGATGACGATTGCAAAGGTGGATAGGATCTTGTCAACATTGGCGTTGCACTGACGTTCGAATGCCGCAGTTCTTGCAGCAATTGTGTGGTAAAGAAACCAAATGGCAGGGCCTTGGTAGGTAGGATACCCGACTCTCATACTGCTGCCAATAGATCCCTCAAGTCCCATGTACGTCCGGGCTAGGGGAACCTTCAAAAAGGGGACATACAGGGAGACGTCAAAGTCAGCTTGACGATTGGCGTTCTCTCTCTGCTTTTGCGGTGAACGAAGATAGCCCTTCATGAGCCTCCACACACGCTGGATGGTTGGATCTTGACGAAGGAACGCCTCACGAATATCTGCTGGCAGCTTTCCCGGGGATGAAGTCTCGTCTTGAGATGTAAAGCCGCAGCTGAACGCATTAGCTGCCGCGGGCAAGAATTCGTCTTCCCACCATTCAATCGGAGGAGTTTCTTGTGCAGTGTAGCTAGTCAGAGATTCTACCGTAACATTTTCCAACGGCACGCTCATTCGGGAAAGCAGAACTTCTCGAAGAGGCTCGTGCAAGTCGTTACAGCGAGCTGGAAGCAGTTGGAGCTGTTGGAACAAGTCAAGAAGGGCCACACCATGAACCGCGAAGTTGTCATAGAAATACGGACGCCCCCCTTCGAGACTTTTTTCGAAGCAGGAGGTGTAGTTGTCTCTTCGAATACGATCTGCCTGGGCCGTGATATATCGGAAAGCCGCTGATTCGATGTCCAGCATTTCCATGTCAGCTTTTGTCATGGAGCAATCGGCAAAGCCCTCGTAGAAGCGATTGGGAGAGAATGAAGGGGGAGCAGGACAGCCTTCGTCTTCAATGACTTTTACCGTCGTCAGCATCTGGCGCTTCCTTGCACCTCGAAAGAGGGCCTGCTCTGCCCAAACTGAAGGCCCCAGAAGGGAAGTCAGAAGAATAATGGTTTTTGAGTTCATCATGTTGGATATGCTTGTTTGTTGCCTTGTTGGTTTCAATGTTGTTTTGTGTTTGTGTTTGTGTGTGTGTAGGTGTGTGTAAGTGAGTTGTGTGAGATGTGTCTGTGTCTGTGTTTTTATTGTGAGTTTGTCTTTGACTGCTTTCAAGTTTGTGAGATGGTGAAAGCACCCAAAACCCAAACAGATTCGACGACTTCAACAGTTTGGCCAACCGTGACTGCGTGGGAATCGATCTGGCTTCAAAGTGTGACTCAGCCAAGCTCGATCGATCCTTCATTTGCATGAATTGTACCTGGTACCTGTACCGGTGCATCACCACCCCGATCTTCAACTGCAGCGCCATCTTCCGGCACCTGAGGGCAGGGTGTTCAAAGTAGATGTATCATGCGCACATCGATCGGTTGATGCCTCTGCACGGGCAATATCCATCCGTCCTTCAATTATTGGTTGCGTGCTTGTTATGGTTTGCTGAAGACTGCTGTGAGACGATTGCAACGGGAGACTTCACATAGGGGTTGCGTGAGATCCCACTCAACGAGCTTATGCATTCTAAATGATCACTGGCAACCTGTGACAAACCCATGATGGTCATGCACCTTTAAAAGCTTGGTGTGGCTGTAGTTTAACAGTGTTGGGATGGACACTTGGACCAACAGGATCGTTAACTGTTAACTAGATGAGCGAAGAAAAACGAAGAAGCTTCAAAACGTACCGGTATGAGCTGTGATGAAACGAAGTTACCGGAAAGCCCAAAGTAGCTCCCTTGAAATACCGTAAGGGCTGCCCCTTTTAATTATCAGGAGCCCGGGGCTACGGACTAGCTGCACCTACTACTAAATACATGTGGCCAGAAAACCAGAGAGGTACTAGTAGTAGCTCTTGCCTCCCAAAATCGAAGACATGGAGTTTTGTGAGCCCAAAACAACGCTAATGGAGTCACTATTGTCGGCAGGCAACAATAGCAGTAATCACCAAGACTGAGTACAAGTAGTCGGGTCTCGAGATTGATGACACGCCGAGAGCTTTTTGAAATTGATCGCATCGGCGCATCATTATTTTTGTAATTATATAAACGGGGAAGTTACTACCGGTATGGGTTAGAGGGGACTATGGTGAGGATGGGGTTCAGAGAGAGGAGGGCAGGATGCAAGAACTTGAGCCCAACAATCGAGTGAACAGGGCAACATCGAAACCAAAGAAGGAGAGGGGGAAGGGGAGGAAAGCAGGGAGGATCAAGGGAGGAAGTCAAGGGGAAGAGATCCAGAGCGTGGTTGTTTTTGTTTGGTACGATTTAAAGGTTGACCTGGGCTGGACCAGTTGTACTTTTTAAAAAGGACTTCCAGACAATGCACATCTGACTGCCTATGTTGGTAATATAAATCATTCTACATTATTCGGTATCGGACAACTCGGAAGGAAAACCATAGCAAACCCCTCAACCATAACATATAATAAGTAGAAAGCGTATGAAAGGAAATAATGAAGGCCAACACTACAACAAACAAATTGGAACTTGATTTCAACATCTTGAACGGGCCGTTTTTTTAATGCACTTCGACTCGTTTTCGCTGCAAGGAGTGAGAATGTGGAGTATTCATTCATTCACGTACGTCTCCAATGCTTTTTTGAAATTGCTCTGACTACACGCCCAAAGCAACCAGCATTCTTTTCTGGAACCTTGCGCACATCCTGCCCTGACTCTTTGCTTTTGATTGACGCAACCATAACTCCCAAATCTTGCTAGCCTCATCTTGCGCAAATTGTGGCATTACTGCCCAGTCCTCGGTCCACCGGGCTGTGAACCATGAGCGGATTGATTGGGTTGACTCCTACTGGGAGCTTGTCCTCCATTGCCCCTGGAACCACTTCGCTGACTGGGATCCCTGTGCGATCCGCCTTGGGCTTGATCGGGTGCCGGTTTGCGGGCATCGCCGCCGTCCGCAGGAACTCCAGTGTCTGCAGGATGGGCATCTCGTCGCGTCTTGTCCTGGTTTTCGGACGATCTGAGATTCGGGGCATCGGCCCCCGGTTGATTTGCCGCCGCCGGTGTCTGTTGGGGAGGAAGACGAGATCGCTCCTGCTGCAAGTTGAGGACAGTCCAGTCGAACATGTTGTCATACTGAAATCCCTTGCGGTAAAAGAGCTCCTTGAAGAGTCTCTTGAGGTAGGCATAATCGGGGCGATCCTCAAATCGGAGTGATCGGCAATATTCAAAGTAGGACCGAAACTCTGTAGCATAACCCTTACAGAGTTGTTCGGTCGAAGTGGACATTTTGCGGTCCATGATTCGTTCGTATTTCTGTTTCTTAGTGTTTGCTTTGAGTCCCTGCCACGGCAAGGATCCTCGAATAAAGTACATGAGGACATAGCCCAGTGACTCTAGATCATCCCGTCGACTCTGTTCAATTCCAATGTGAGTGTTGATGGAGGCGTATCGAGCCGTTCCCGTCAAGTTTTTATTCTCACGGTAGGGAATGTGTTGATGGGATCTTGGATCACGGTATTTCTTGGCCAATCCAAAATCAATAATGTGAATGACAGATTGCCGTTTGCCCAGTCCAATGAGGAAATTGTCCCTGCAAAAATGCAAAGTCAAAAATTTGGAGTTAGTCAACCATACCGGTAGCTAACCTGGCGCCGTATACCGGTACTGCGCACAGAGCAGCCTTTGCGGGCCAACAGGTACAATCCTTTGACTAGCCACTTACGGTTTGACATCTCTGTGGATGAATGACTTGGTGTGGACGTATTCCAGTCGACTGAGGAGTTGATCTGCCAGCATCAAGACCGTCTTGAGCTGGAATCTGCGACCACAGTAATTAAAGAGATCCTCCAACGAAGGACCCAGTAGATCCAACACCATGACATTGTAGTCACCTTCAATGCCGTACCATCGCACATTGGGAATTCCCACTATGGTATGAATAACAGTGCAGCGAGACATATAGCACAGCAGCGTGAGGTATTTACAGCACACCTCCTATCAAGACGAAAGCGTCAACCATCAGCACGGTGCCACTTACATCCACCGTGAAGAATCCGATAAATCTTGCTCTCATAGAGAAGCTGTGGATGCTTCGTCTTGACCGATTCCAGCTTGATGGCAACCTCCTCTCCAGTGGTCATGTTGGTGCCCAAGTAGATATCACCAAAAGACCCACTTCCAATTTTCCGCCCCAGGCGGTACTTCTTGCCCACGCGAAGCTCCATGGTCGCTCCTAAAGCCGCAATAGTGGCACCAGCTAGCTAGCTAACTAAAAAGTACACTGTACAGTTGACGCGGATTGGGAGGACGCTACCTGCTGTTTGTTACAATACAAACAAAGAAATAGACCTTCTTCACGGCCAGCGGAAAATTTGATGGTGCGGAAGCAGCATGTGCTTGTGTCGCCTGCAGTCGCCAAATGAAGTTGGTTTCGACATCATCTCTTTGCAAGCTTATTGCAAGATGCCCCCGGGATTCGATTGATTCCCGTGACGAAGTACCGTAACCGAAAATGCCTTGAAGCCTTTTCACTTTGCCATACACGTGTAGCGCGGCATTATGGTAGAGAAGCAATTTGCTCTGCCTTTGGCTTGCTCTCAGAGAAGCTATCTAGCTGGGCATTTCTGGTAAGAATCTTTATGATGAACTCTGGAGAATTGGCATGGTTTTATGTGAATCTTAGAAAACTCATACGATCTTAGAAACTACCTATCTTGTGGAAACTACAGTCTAGTACCGGTACGTGACCGGTCCTTGCCATACAGGTACGTGACCGGTCCTTCCCATTGGCCTGCTGATGCATATCTATTTTTATAGGTTCAATGTTAGATTTCACAGAGGCACGGATTGAGTTGTAGAATGTAGAATAGAGACTCTACACTGTCTTCTGGCAGCAAGGCACACAAGACGTTCACCCAATCCTTCCGGGTTGCATCCGGCTCAAACAGTATCTTTCGTCCGGCTTTATTCAGGCGCAAATAGAATTCAATATCCGCATGGGGCTGTGTTCCAGGGGACGTGTTGAGTTCCATGAGGGAATGGTTGTGCTCCATCAAGTGCGTGAGGGATTGAAATCCCTTGGCGCTAATGCCGGGCAAACGTCGATTGGTGCTGTTGACCAGGGACAGTGAACGGACGTGGCTGTTGTGGGGTAACAGGAGCACTTGTTGGATCTTGTCACAAACCTCATCAAGCAACTCGGGGACGATCACCAATGTCAAAGTTTCAATGGCGTGGTTGTGATTGGTGCCCAGAGCTTCCAAAAGAGGCAATTGTCCCGGGTTAGTGTCTCCCAGCTTGAGCTCCTTGAGGGATGGGTTGTCCAAGACAGGGAGCAGGGACCGCACGTATGGTTCGGGTCCACCGTCAAACCAATGCATGAGAAATCCATGAAAGTGGAACGACCGTAATTGTGGTTTTTGTCGAATGGCATGGGCCAATGCGTGTAGCTCTTCCTGGCTGCCTTCAACGATTCGTTTCCCCCAAATCTCCAAGTGCGTCAACGACCGTGCATTCTCAATGGCACTGCGTATTCCCGCAAAGGAACCCAATGATCCCAGAGTGTATTGCTTGAACACGAGTTTTTCCAGCGACGGAATGGCCGCCACTGATTCCAAAAAGGTACGCACATTTCGGGCTTCCCACAACCCCAAGCCTTGCCCTTCTGCAATGGTCAAATCTACCGTCACTTCTTCCACGGTATTGTTGGTTTGCAGAGCATCGATCCATTGCGCAACCTGAAAGCTAAAGATGCTGTCGCGCCAGTGAGGAAAATGGTTGGATACTCCATGCTCTATATCCTGCAACTTGACGTTCAAGAAGGTCAAGTATTCGTCATTCTTCTTGAGACGTGCTAGTTGGGCAACAGACGGGTTGTGAACGTTGCTAGAAGTGGCGAACATGGTTGTATCTTCTGTTACGGAAGGAGAGGAAAGATAAGAGATACTGTGGCAATATCCTGTGAGGCTGGAAACTCCCTCTTCTGAAGGCAAAGCAAACTAGCAAAGATGGCGATAACGACGAGGTTAGGACTGGGAGAGTGGTTTGTGAGAGGTGCTTGCAGGGACAGAAGTCAAATCAAGTAAAAGGAAGTTTGAGAAGCAAAGAAGCGAAGATCTTGGAGTTGGGAAACGTGACCCATGTTGGAATGTAGAATCGTGACTAAAATCAAAAAGTGACGTCAGCGACGAAGAAAGAGATCGAGGAACAGATCGAGGATCGAGGCATCAGACAACACTTATCTACATCGAACGCTGTTTGCTGTGGTTGTTGCAAAGAAGCAAAGGAACTAACACCATGAAGATAAGCCTAAGAACTACTTTGTCAGTGCTATTATTGGCACTGCCTGTCCACTCTTTGGCGCCGCCAAGCAAGCCAACAGGGAAACTCTCCAGCACTAGTGACATACGGCCTGCTCCCACGTCGTTCGATGACATTGTAACCTTGGAATCGTCTGATGAACGAGATGCTTCACGACGGCTCTTCATGACCAGTCTGGTCGGATTGGGACTCTTGACGGCAATGGACCCAGCAGAGGCTGCCATGATGGAAGCAAAACCTATGTCGTCCTCGGCCTCATCCTCGACAACCACCACCAGCGATACAGCCGTTGCAGCGGTCGATTGGAATGGAATTGTTCAAAAGGCGTCTAAGCGAGCCCTCGGAGGCGGAAAAGCAGGAGCATCCGCAGCAGTAGTCCAGGTTTGCTCGCTCATGTGGTTGAGAACCAGTATGAACTATCAGGTAAGAAATGCTAATTGAACGACGTGAATCTAGATTCTCTGGCGATTCATACTGAACGTTCTCGCGCTCTCTCCCTCTATTTTAATTCTTCATGGCAGTATCGCTACGGTGGAAATCTTGGCTCCAGTCTAAAGACGCTGTGGGATGAAGGTGGCGTGGGCCGACTTTATCAAGGCCTGCCGTTTGCTCTTGTCCAGGGACCAATGACACGCTTTGGCGACACAGCTGCCAACGTGGGAGTTCTAGCATTGTTGGAAAGCTACCCGGGCACTCAAGACTTGCCTTTGCCATTGAAAACTGCCTGTGGTAGTATCGCTGCTGGGGCGTGGCGAATTGTTCTCATGCCCGTGGACACTTCCAAGACTGCCATGCAAGTCGAAGGCGCCCAAGGACTCCAAGATTTGTGGAACGAAGTACTCGTGGTGCGAAAGAACCCAGGGCCCTTGTACCGAGGAGCCTTTGCTTCTGCCGCAGCAACGGCTGTAGGACACTTCCCATGGTTCCTCACGTACAACTGGCTCAACGAACAACTTCCCCAGGTTAGCTCGACGGATGACTTGCTGCTATCTTTGGGCCGTGCGGCTTTCCTGGGTCTTTGCTCCTCGTGTGTTTCGGATGTTTGCTCCAACAGTCTGCGAGTGATCAAAACTACCAAACAAACTGCAGGGTTGGCTGAGAAAGACGAAGAAGGAAACGCCAGGGATCTTTCGTATCCCGAGATTGTATCCATCATTCTTGAAAAGGACGGTGTTGTGGGGCTGCTGGGAAGAGGGCTTCAAACCCGTCTTCTCACCAATGCCATTCAAGGATCAGTGTTTAGCGTGCTTTGGAAATACTTTCAGATGCAAAACTAAACTGAGCCGAAGAAACTTTTGTCAACAATACTCGCTGAGCAGTGCAATCTTTGGTCCAAACCGTTCCTCGCTCATTCACTCTGTTCGCGAACACCATCCTTTAGGATTGTTGGCGAGGTCGAACAGCCACAAGGCCAAGTTTCTCAATGGCCCACCGATCCAACAATTGCTCTGGTGGCGGAATATGAACTGCTCGGTGCGCCCACAATGCATTCGCTATTGCTTGAGCACTGGCGCACTCAATCTGATCCAGCATATCATTAGACAAAGCTTCAAAAACCTGTTCGTCTTGGATGTCCATTCGCCCCAATGCAATCATGATACTAGCGGCCTCTTTTGGACTAGGCTTTTCCAATGCAAACTCGTGTACATGAAGGATGCGATCGGTGAAGGATTGGACCAACGGGTCGCAGCACCGGAAACCTGTCATGCTCATGCCCCAGAGAACATTCGATGTCTCCTGCATGGTCAATCGAGGTGCCAATATCGTCGCCCTGGATACCAACTTTTCCATAATCTCAGAGTATTCGTCACTGATGTCCTTTTGGACAGTTTGCAATCGGCCCATAGCCCACATTGATTGAGCCACATCCTGGGCATTCATCTTCATTTGTTTGTTGTGCTCCGTCAAGAAGGTCGCAATTTGGTTCGCAGAGGGTAGATAAGGTGGAGAGTGATCAAGACATGAGTCTTCCGGATCTCCCTGTTCCGCACCTTCCAGCTGTCGTTGTTGTTGCTGCTGCTGTTCCCACACTGTCATCTTCCCGCAGGCCCACAAACTCTGTGCCATTTGACGAGTGCTGCACTCATCCAAACGAGCGGCCATGAGCCCCGCCAGGTGGTCAAAGATGCCCATATCCTGAATGTACGAGGCCTTGGCGTAAGCGCAGAGGGCTGATGAAATATCTCTTGTGGACAGATCATCCGTGAGAAGATGGCCTCCAAGGAAGTGGAAGAGGTCTCCCAGCACCAGGCTTTCTGTGTTCGTTGTTCTTGCCGCTTGACGTCGGATAAGTTTGCGTTGACGCCCCCTAGCAACAATCACCGATGTAAACGCAAACAGCATACGACTGGCTTGAGAAGGCGTGATTTGGTCGGCAACGTCGTCATCCATGGTCCTAGCAGCAATCGCTAATAACGGGTCGCCGACTTCACTTTGGGTATGACCCCCCGCGTCAGGAGAGTTGTTGCCTAAATGTTTTGTCTTGTCCAGAAAGACCAGAAAGTTTGTCAAGTCTTCGGCGTGACAAAGCTCCAGAAACGTTTCGTCTGTGAACAGAATCCGAGCGCACTCTCCAAATGGTTCCATCACCGTGTTGTTGCGTCCCCACCAATTGGCGGCACACCGTAAAATGCCGTTGGCAGTTTTTGGTTTTACTTGTGGTTCCAATCCCCTCTGCTCCAGGATGGTGACTGCGTGTTGACCCAACTCACGGACAAAATCGGAAGATGGTTTCAAATCAGGGCACTGTGTAGCTTCCACGGCTCGCAGGAATTGTGACAGTTCTTTCACGCCTGCACCTTGCAAGAGTGAGCCGCCCTGAGCAGCCAAGTAATCACTCCAGTCAAACTGCAAAGCCATGTCAATTTTCTCTTCTTCATCGGAATGGATATGGTTGGGTGTCTTCTTGTTCAGCACTCCCATATTCGACACGGTCGAAATCATTATCATCGCCTCATCCATCGTCAATGACGAGCCACGATTGTCAGAGGTCGCGAATTGTGGTGGTTGCTGCTGCCTCGAGAGAATCTCCCGAAAGACTGTATACACCATGACCTTGGCTTCGGCGTGAAGCTTTTCGGCATTGTCCTTGGCGTGTATGCCAATGGCTGCTGCAGCTCGCAATGCCCGGAATAACTGCCGAACTGTCGCCGCTCGGCGCACTGGTTGTTTGCGGAACCGTCTCATGAGAGCAATGGCAAATTTGGATTCCATATCAGGTTGCAATGCCAGAGTTTTTAATGCAATGGACATGTCCCCTGGAGACAATTGTGGCAAATTATGCGTTTGAACGCACTTTTGATAGATTGCTTCTCGGATTCTTCTTAGAGCCACTGAGAGATTGCAGGCTGGGGCATTTTTGGAGCTATCGGTTGATTTTTCCAATGATATGACTTGCAGCGACTGCAGAATGTTCACGAGACGTGCTGGATGGGTCCCACGGATTAATTCTGCTCTCCGTTGATCCATTTCTGTCACTAGATTGATTGCCAATTTCCGCATTTGAGTGTGGTCCAGTGGATTGTCGACTTTGTTTTGGAGGACTGCCAAGCAATTGAAAGAGTCTACCAGTGCGTGGATTGAAAAGGAGGACATCTCTCCTTCTGCCAATTCTGCAAGACGCTTTATCAGTGCCAATTTCCAACTGTTCAATTCTCCATGGCTTGATGATGATGACTTGAATCCTATCAGCCTTCGTAATGATACTGCAGCAATATTAGGAGATACAGATTCCATAATGTGCGTCATTGGTTCAGGAAGCTCTGCACTTCTCTCAACATGAAGATTCGTCGCAGACGGGGTGGTGGACTCTTTTAGATTCTGAATGAGATCTTCCAAAGAAACTGAATTTCGAATTCTGGCGACAAGACGAAATTCCAGTGGAGTGCCTTGTCGTGTAGGGAGAGCAACGTCTTCATTATTGGTCCTAGAGAGCAGCAGCTGACAAGGCTTGGTCCCTGGATTCTCACAATTCCGTGGTTGACACGACGCTATTGAAGAAAACGCATCAACGGTAGCCAGGGAAATGAAAAAGAGAACCAGGACACCTCTTCCAGTGCCCATTAGTACCATAGTGCGGCTTCTGGAAGTTGGAGGCCCTGCAACTGTTCTTGGTGTGGAGCCGTTTGTTGGCTGGGAAGCATGGGAACAATAGATATCGGGGCCAGTGGCAGCTTGGAAGGAGTTGAGTTAGTTGATGGCTTGACGTTGTTGTGTTTGGTTGGTGGGTGAAGGTCGTGAGTGACGAGTCGAGTCGTGACACCGAGAAGATCTCAACGTTTTATAAGTTTGTTGAGTTGTTTGTTGAATTGTTTGTTGTGGATGTCTTCTCGCGCCTGATCCCACAAAGCACTTCTCCTCAAGCAGAAGCGTTCTTCTTTTCTAACTAAACCATCGAAAGCACAAGAAAAACAACAACCAACGTAGCCATCATGATGCACGCACAAGAAAAGATGAGGGGTCTGAAGCCCGATGTGGTTCTCAAGCTCCAGCTTAGCTCGATGGGAGGACCACAGAACGTTCTAACCATACACAGCGACGGGCGAGTCGTGCGTCAGCCTGAATTTCGTGGGAAAACCAGGCAATTCGTGCTCAACACTGGCAATAATGATACGATTGAGGACTATGTCAGAGCTAACCTCCCAGCAGAACAGTTTTTGGAGTTAGAGAAGAACTACTATGAAATTCCATCAGAATATACCTGTGGGACGGCTGCCAATCTATTCCTACGCATTGGACCCAGAGAACACTGGGTGGGTATTTGGAACTTTGGTCGAGGAGAGATCCCAACTTGTATTGATGCGGGGATGTATGACGCTGTCTTGCAGCTGGCAAATCGACTGGCAAACGAGGAAGACATGTAAGAGCTTTCAACGGCACTGAAGAAGGCGACGTCTCGGCATTTGTGACGCAACGTGGCCCAGACAGACATACCCTTTTACAGAGCATAACCGGTTAGCATCATCTTCTTCTTAGCCGCTCTGATCCTTCTTGCTTGATACTCCTAAAAAGTGATCCTGTGTGAGGTTGCAACCGAGGTTAGCCGTCTGAGGACAAGAGGAGCACTGCCTAAACCAACAACTATGCCTCATAGTATACCCACCCAAGATATCCACTGTCCGAGGCGTCCATAGTATTCGTCGGGCCGGGAAGGAATATAAGAGTTTCGTTTCTCTCCCATTTCTATCCAACTTGTCCAATCTTCTTCGGTTTCCCACCGGCCAAAGGCTTGCACCCACTTAGAACATTCATCGTAGGGCAGAAAGCGAGGCTTTGACTTGAGTAGGCGACGTGTGTTGGCTTCCTCTAGTTTCAATTTTTCAACTCTCCAATTCAAGTCATCAAACACTACACCAGCACTCGGTAGGTCATCTTCCCCAAAGTCGTCATGGGTATCACCTTCATCATCGCTTTCGGCTGTCATCAACAAGCCATCTCTTGGCCGATTTTCCCTCCAGAAAGATGTCTCGACTGATAACTTTCTTGCATTGTAGTTTGCGAGGGTGAAGCCGTCTACAAAATCCTCGACAACAAATCCAAGACAAAACAATCCAAACAAAGCGGCCGATAGGCAGCTCCTTGGCATTGGTCTGCGCATGCGATACATCCGAGATCCCCCAATAGGTGGTTTGCCTGGTCGCATTGTCCGTTTCCTGGTCTTCCAGTGATCTTTCTCACTCTAACTGTATGCTGCAGCAGGATCTTTCACGAAGACAAGGATACACGCAACACTATTTGCCTCCAATGGCCATGCTGTCCGTGGAAACTGCGAATTCAATGGAGTGATGAATTCTGTCAAAACAGAGATGATGAAGAACTTTCTGTATATCCACGCAGCTTCCAAGACAGGTGATTGAAAGGATTTTCGTCGATGTAAGCTGAAATGCGTACTACAAACAGAAACATTGACGCCATCGTCGGCAGCGCAAAGAACAAGAAAAATGAGACAACTTTCTCGAGGCCACCTCATTCATTCCGCGAAAAGGGTTAGGATTATTTGAAACTTCCACGATTCTAATCTTCCTCGCTCGCAACCACCATCCAAACTTGTCCTTTACCGGAACATGGACACAATCCCACGATGAGGAAGATGTGCACACAGTTAAGTGTGACACGATGATGAGGCGTTGCTCCTCTGGGGATAAGTTCTGACCCACAAAACGGATGCCTCTTTAGTCGTTTCCCTCTTCGGCCCGGTAACAACCAAAAGTCGAGGTCTATTGGAACATGCATCCTCACAAATCGCATGATTCAATCTCTTGCCAAGGTAAAGCAAAGGAACGTATCGTCACTCACAGTTACCTAGAATTTCTACAGTCTAATGGCGTGGTGGCCCTCCAATCAAGATGACACCATCAGACACTCGACAATGGGCACTGCCTTTGAGAAACCATTGTCACTCCAGTACATCAATGATGAGGTACCGAGGACTCCTGAAAGCGCGATCACACGAAGAATCTCAACACCAGGGGCTCCTGTGAAACCTCGCAGATCTGAAACAGCGGTATACTTTGCAAGAGGTTCTGGTGATTGGTCAAAGGTGGAATTCATGTCTCGAAATGGACATTGGACTCACGCACCGACATGGGGAGACAATCATAGCCTCGGAGAAGAAGTAATGCGATTCACAAATCCATCCCAACAACAGCAGACACGCACGGTGCCCATTCAAGCAATTCGACACGGTGGACATCGTCGCCCCGGTATTCCCAAATTAGGGCTGCCTCCTCGCCCCACCCGTTCCAGTGCTCCAAGGCAAGTGACCAATCCTTCGACTAAAGCAGCTACAACGTCGATTCAACAAACTTTCTCCATCGAAACTCCCGACGTTTTGGGAGACGACGACCTCAAGCTTGTTAGTTTAGGTCCCTCCTTGGCCGTTGCCTTGTACGATCAACTCTTTCTTTGGAGTCAGAATGGCCAAGGCAGCGCCGAACTGTTCACTTGTACAGACGATGGAGCGCCGATTTCTTGCGTGGAATGGCAAGATCGAACCATGGTCCCAACCAACCAACACGTCCCGCTGATTGCCGTGGGACTCAAGGGAGTAGTGGAAGTCTGGACTGTGGAAGAAGACGGCCATGTGATTCAAGCGTTTCAGGACTGCCACGAAGGATTCATCACGGCTATCTCCTTTAAGAACGACAAGATATTGGCTGCTAGCAAGTCGGGGATTCAAAGACATGTGCTCGATCGGGGAGCCAAGGAGTCCACTGTCTATCAGTATCAGGACGGTCACGGAGGAGAGCGCATCACAAGCCTCTGTTGGAGTGATAAGGGTGACATGTTTGTGTCTGCAGGTAATGGTGTCATTCAAGTGTGGGACGCCGTCCAAACTGGAGAGGCCATTCAACCCTTGTGGACATGGCATCATCTTGGGGTACGGTGCGTTGCCTTTTCTCCAGGACACCACCACAACATTTTAGTGTCGGGCGGTGAAGGAGGCCTCAAGTTTTGGAATTTACGGAATGGTGAATTACGAAGTTTCCTAGCCGTGGATGGAATCCACAATCCTGTGACGGGGATTGTTTGGTCTCGGCCAACGGAAGTGTTGATCTCCCATGGCAGTTCCCTGTCTTTGTGGAACCCCGATCGAGAAACCAAGTTGGTTCAAGTCGACACGGATCAAGGAAAGATACTTTCTATGGACGATGGTCCCAATGGAAGCATCGTTTGCATCCACGAAGACGAAGTGGTTGTTGGCTACTCGATAACGGGTGGTTCCAAGATGGCCCATCAGAGCAGGGGAAGCGTGCGTAGAGCGGGTTTGTTTTCGTAATGCAACAAAATAGAAAGGTAGACAAGAAATCAAATCAAATCGACATGGACATTTACTGTCGAGACTTTTAACCAAACTGCTTGAATCGTAGGCAGACATTCGTTCATTCGTTTCTTCTTTCCCTTGCTTCGTCTGCTGAATTGGTTTGTAGCAATGGATACTGCGGATAATGTCAAATGTAACTCAGTCAAATTCTGTACTTGTCGTGTTGCTCTGGAGCGTTTCTGAGAACTGCCTGCAGATTGTGGTTGTGCTCTCTTCTATTCTGGTGGCATCATCTCCGAATTGAAACCAATGCGCGGCTACCGTGTGATAACCATCCCGCCGTTTGATTATCACTTTTTGGACATTGCCTCTTTGTTTGCTTGTACTCTCTTTCGCAATTCCAACACTGTAAAACCACAAGAGTCGAGTCAAAGTTGAGCCACAATTACCTCGTAAGACACACAAAATCAACAAGCCATTGGCCAGCACTACTTACCTTCTCGTTCCTGTTCATTTTGCTGCTCCCGTCGTTCAAATTTGGCAGGCTGGTAGTACAGCACAACCAAATAACGACCACCCACGTTGAAACCACTCAGATGATCGACGGCAGCCTTGGCATCGTAAATGTCCTCGTAGACCACAAAGGCTGTTCCCCGCGTATCCTTGTCCTTGTTGCCCATTCGGATCTGATAGACGGCCCCGTACTTCCCAAAGATGGCATACAGCTCCTCTGCTGTAATCTTGAAGGGGAGATTCCGCACGTACAGGATACGGTTCACTTCTGGAGGAAGTCGAGACTGCCATGGCAAAACGGGTTTTAAAAAAACAACAACATAAACAATCACAGGTGAGCACACAAGACACACAAATACACGAACAAAAAGGAACAACACAGATAAGCATAAGAGCCTTACATTGTAGGATTTTCGGGATACGTATTCAGCCATCTTTCAGTGAATGAATTGGGCGACTTCGATTTCAAGGGCAGCTTGGTGGTTTGAGTTGATGCGGTTTGGGGACATGAGGGGATTGAGGATGCTTTGTGGGTTTCGTTGTTGCTAATTATAAACCGGCTGAGCTGCCAAATTGTTTTTGGAGAAGGGCCACGCCAAAGTTCGACTGTGACCTGCACTCCCACGATGACCTCGCTCGTGTTGACTCCGAAAGTGGAACGGAGCAACTTTGTTGACGGAGTATTCGACAACGTAGACAGCGAAATGCTCCTTCCAATTTGGTTGAATGGTACGTTCAAAATATATCTTTGTTGCATCCATACATTTGAAAAAGCGTCCATTGCGCTGCATCTAATTGACACAATGCCGGTAGTACTTTTGAAGATTCTCCATAATTACAGCGGTGGCCAAACAGTCTGTCAAGTTGACGGCCCGGTGGATGTGGCAGCTCGATTGGTACCATTTCTTCGGGACCAGAAGCTGGAAGTTTCATGTGAGCATCAAAACAGGACAATCACAATCGCAATCTCCGAAGACAAACCTCCGCCGTCCTTCCACGAGTTCTTTTCTTTGCTCATGGACCAAGGGTGGAAGATTGACGAGATGAATACTCTTATGAGCCCTCTGACCGGTATCTTTGTCGAGAGCTTCCTCTTGAGCTCTAAGGGAAGGAATGGAGGGAAAGAAACAGGAGCAGACCTTCAAAGCTTTGAGGTACGCGATGGAACGGATTCAATCCAAGTCGAAATGGAACTCCCGGGTGCGAATCTTTCGAACATCAATATCTCTGTTGGTGAAGACAAGGAACTACTCACTATCTCAGGCGAACGTCGAATTCCAGGAAGCAGCAGCATGACATCCTTTAGCAAGAGCTTCAACCTTGGCGTTCCTGTGGAAGAGGATCAAGTTATCACCAAACTGAACAACGGCATCTTATTGGTAACCGCGCCCAAAATGCAGACTGTGAAGGAACCAAAGAAGCTTCAGATTCCCAATAATGTTTGAAAGAGAAGCAGCCATACTCCAACCTGACAAGTTGGCACTGGAACGAAAGAGAGCGTTGGGACAACACGACTTGAATCGACTCCACCAAGTGAATCGAATCCAGGCCTACCGGTATCCACCTGTCAGTGTCAGATCCTTCTATATTACTTTTACTCAGGCATTCTGTAGCTATTTCAGTAGACTGAATCAGAGCCTATCTTTTGTGTGTTTTCTTTTGTACTCATCTCTCACTCCAGGCTACAATTCTCACTATCAGAGCCACTCAGACAGATTTCGCCTGCATCACAGAAATCTGCTGTTTCCAGGTCATACTCTGTTCTCACTGCAACACCAATGCCTGTGCCAGAACTAGCGTAGTAGTATCCACCTTCATTGATGAACATGAGGTAAACAGAGTCACCATGGGAGCCATCATAGGGGACCACATCACCTGCCATTGTCACAAACAGTGGGTCTCCTCGTTTCAATAGCTTGAAGTCCTGGTCCTGTATGGATTTGTGCACCATGTAGGCAGGAAAGTTGGGGTTGTGATCAGCACAAGGCCACTGGATTTTTCCTGACATTTCTCCTGGCCTAGTTGCCACGGCTGATCGATAGCAAGGAACTCGACCTGAAGGGAACCATTCTTTGATTTGCTTCAGTACACCTGTTTCTTCAGGGTTGTCACTGGAACAGTCCACATTGTGTAATTCTAGGAACTCAAGGAACGCCTCCAAGGCCTGTTTTGTCTTGTCCACAGCATCATGTCTCACAATGCCTTGTGGGACAGGTCCAATTTCAATTGTAAAACCATGTTTCCCAACACTTGAAAGATTTGGTCTATCATTTCTGTCTGGGATGGAATGCATAATGATGCGTGCCTCTTCGCTCACAACAGTGGGGCCCGAATTGGTGGTGCTTCGAACTGGATTTTCTTGGCACTTGTGAAGCACATAGGCAGCTGCTTGTGCCATCAAAAAGTCATTTTCTGGGATGATAATGGTCACTCCCATGTTGGTGGTTGTTGTGTGCAAATCCACTACGACATCTGTGGAGGGGTCTGACTTGGGTCCTAGCAGTTTGTTGACTTCTTGTGCTCGGAGGCTCTCGGCAGGAATCTTAGTTTCAGAATCGCCTTGTGATGCGGCCAGTGCTGCCTGTATGGCTTGCAGCTTTTTTGTGGTAAACTCTCGATTCAAGTCAGTGTCCAAGAACCTTTTGTTGGCCAGGTGAGCACCTGGGTTTCCCATCAATGTAGAAATGTCCATAGAAGGAAACCGCTTTGATACGCTCTTGAAGACAGACGGCTGTTCCAGCTCTTTAATGCACCAAACACCAGTATACTCATTGCCATGGGTTCCTCCCACAACCACCACTGATCGAACTGGCATTTTGCTGCTGGTATATTTGGCCGACGCCAATGAATGGGAAGCCAATGGCAGCACCAACAAAAGCAGTTGGGAAATCGTCAAATAATATACCATAAAGGGCAATCAAAAAACAAATAAGAGAAGATTAGTTAGATCCGAAAGGTTGGATGTTACAGCGGTCGAGAAGTTGTGATTACCATGCCTCGACATGAAACTTGAAAAACGAGAAAGGACATTCTCGAAGCGAAATTGCAAAGTTGCTGTGAGATCATCATCGGCAGCAGCTTTGGCAGCATGGATCTTTTGCTCCACTCCGACCTTCCGGCAAAGTTTGGACGGTTCCCGGAAAAGACGTCATTTCAAGCCACGTGTATTTTACTGGTACCGGTACCGGTGGCTATAGACTGGTACGGATCAACTTCATTGGGCTAGCGGGATAGCCAGATCAGATGTATTGTTAGAGCTGTGCAAAGTAATCGAACGGGGGTTTTAGAGCAGGAGCAGGGAGGTTATCTACGGAAGCCAGCGAGGGCCAGGCTCAATTGAAAAGTGTGAAGCTCCGAAATAAATCAACACCAGAGCTCAACACATCTTCACAAGCTCACTTTTGTAACTCTGTCAGAGGTCAACGTACCGGAGGGCCTCCCGGATGTTGCATCTCACTTCCGGACTGAAGATTTCTCTGAAGCGTCGCCTTGGGCCGCCAGCGAACAGCGTCGAAGTGACAAGGTATGGTATGTCGCAGCTCTACGTGTAATGAGAGCACACTATGAAGTGTGTGATACCTATAACTGTACTTCTACTCGTTCAGTTAGCTATCCAAGATCACGTAGCGCTGCATCATGGATATTAGCCTTGATCTATCCAAACTATTGGTTGGTGGCGGAAGGCTGTCCATCATTGCACGACAGACAAGATCGATGCGTATAGCCAAGCCTCGAACAAATTGTGCAACATGTTCCTCCCCCACGAGGTCATCACCGGCCATGTCAGATAGCATCTCGTCAAGACTTTCAGGCAGTCCAGCTCGTATGACACAAGAAACCAGGAACATGCCCGGCTGACACAGCGGCTTCACGATGATTGTTGCATGACTGAACTGTCCACTCACCATCGGAACTCCATGGACGTTGTCGCTGGCAATCCCGAGATCCAGATAACTCTCGATGGACCTGTCCACAAACACAATCAAAACGCTATCGTTCCCAATGTGCCTCTTCCTTTCCGTCAAGCCTTCTGGCATCAAAGGTGCCACATGAAACACGACCGCGCTGCTGCTGTCTGGTGATGACCAAGCCAAGGCGTACCGTCCATCACTCTCAACCTCCGAAGTATCAAGACCCGCCGAATAGGCCTTCAAGTATCTTGTCGAGATCATCTCTCCCAGTCTAGACGTGAACTTGTGAAAATCAGGAGAACAGTGCACCACTCCGAGAAGACGTGTTTCCATCGTTGTGCCCTCTCGACCCTCGGAACGGCCAAGGTAGAGAACGCCAAACTTGTAAACGTTGGCTGGAGTAGCTCGATCCAGGACTGCAAGAGACCGCTCTAGTTTTGCATTGTAGCTCAACCGCTTGCTCTCACTCAGCTTGAACTTGTAGTTCTTCAACGAAACGAACTCGCAACTGCATGCACTGGAAATAGAGAAATCGCGTGTTCGAAGATGACGCTCGACACGGGTATCGGTAGATATGTCGTCGCCACCAGCTTCATCGCAATCGAATACAGAATACAACCAGGCTCTCACGCTCAATGGGTCCAATGGCTCTCTGTTTAAGGCGCACATATCCGCTACAGGACAATCAACAGGCGGTGGGTCAGACGGGGCATCCGATGGTGATGTCACTGTAATTTCCTCTGTTGGTTCCGTGAACTGCTCGTTCTCCACAAGGTTACTCGAGCTTGCCTCGTTCATCTCTGAGTTGACGGTTTCTGCGTGCTCGGCGAACATCATGTCAAATCTGTCCAGGAGAGACGTTGCCCTATCAAGCACAGTGGAATCTGTTTCGAGGCCGAATCCTTCAAAATCAGATTTTGTCGGTTTGTCTCTCAACTGCGGCTCCGATTCCAGGAGCAACGGGAAGTCTGGATCTTCCAGATAGAGCTTTCCGAGCATTGGTATTAAGCTTCGTTTGAAGACAGTTGGCGACCGGACCACAACCTCTAAATAGTTCCTGTACCGCGAGGTGGGTGACCCCATACGACAGGTAAGGACAACATTGTTTTCACAGAGCCACGCAGCGCAGGGTTCTCCTGAGATCGCATCCGCGTCTGCTACAACGAACTTTTCCAGGCAGTTGCCTTCAATCGTGAGCTTCTCGAACATCGAAAGTGATTGTAGTAGTGTTTCTGAGTCCCTGCAATCATCCATTTTTTCTTCTAGAACAACACTTGGCGATGATTGGCTCTCCAGCTGCTGTTCGAGAGATTCACGTACGATCAAGAAAGCAAAGAGGTGGTCATCGGAATCACTCACTTGCTTCTTGAATCTATCGGGATAATTATTGGCGTGGAACTGTTGCAAAGCCATCTTTGCTTCCTCGGACTTGAAGCCTCGGATAATCGCCAGCGCGTACCGAAGAGCAAGGTGCAAGCCAACACAACTTGGAAGCAACACAATCGACGTCGATATGATTTCACAGCACAGCTCGAACGCTTTCATTGCAGACGGGGGCTCCACAATTCGTTTCGTGCGTTGCAACGCTTCATTCAGAATGGCAAGCAGGGTTGCCACAAGTCGTGCTTGGACCGTTGTCAAGCTGCTGACTCTGCCTACCTCGACTTGCAGTTGATTGAGGATTGTGTCGTAGGCTGTTCTCTCCAACGACACCGAAGAGAGCAACGCGAATAGAGGTCGGCAGCACCTGATGGTAAGTTTAGGATGGGCTTGTCCAAAGACTTCCGAAAAGAGATGAGCTATCAGCTGCGGCGACGTGGTTCTGGGATTCTGATCCGCAACTGCACGCTGGGCAAGCAGGGACAAGCAATTGAATGTTGCAAGCACCCCATTGAAGTCTGATTTGTTGAGTGGCTGTGTTAAGTCCTCGATTCTCGCAGGGGCTGAAACTGACAGACCCAATCGAAGATACCCGCTCAATACGTTGAATGAGTGCCATCTTAGCGGGGACAGCGAAGCCTCATATTTGCCGCTTTCGTGTGTCTCTTTACATTTGGACTTGCACACTAGCATCATCAGCGCATTGGTCGTGTTTGCGAACGAGAACATCGTTCTTTCCGGTCGTTGGCTGATTGAGTGTTGATCAAAATGTACACTGACGAGAGAAGAAGCCCACATTGCTCTACCATGGCTTGCCAGCATCAACGCCAAAGCTCCTTTTTCGTTCACCTTCAGCCTGCCAAGGGCTCCCAAGACGTTTGTGGCGAGAGAGATATTCTCCGCTACATATTCTCCTCGTTCAATGGATTCCACGGCTGAGGCCAGGGCAGAGCATAGCGCATCGACCAGAGACGTGGTGCTTTCGTGGGCAAACGACAGTTCACTGAAGCTCCCACTTAAACACGAAACCAGCTGTTTGAGAGCTTCAACCCTGACTTCGACCAGTGTTGACACGGAGGCAGCACGATCTAGAATCACGACGCAAGCAGAACGTTGTTGTCGATTTCCTGCGCGATCGTTGAACAATCTGCCAGCCAATTTCACTGCGTAGAGCTGCAAATCTGTAGCATCTTCTGACGGATCCTCCCCAGTTGAATCTTCCCCTTGATCTGAGCGTTCTCGTGTGCGGTCTTCAGAGAGTACAGCACCTGTAGTGTACGATGAACCGGATTGCTCGTCGATAGATCTCACTTTTCCCTCCCGCTCTATTACCCCACCCACAACACCCCCTTTTTCGCTGCATTCCTTTAAGGACGTTCCATCAACCAAAATGAGTTTCAACAACGGCAGAATGCTGTCTGCTACAATCCGTTGATATGCCACAGTCACGTGTCGTGTCATCACCAGTAAGGAAGGCGATTTGGAAGTGTTCGTTTCCCCATGTTCTGCCCCCTCATAGCCCCCATCAAACGTCAACAACTCGAGCGCTTCCAGTTGGACGAACCTGCTATGCAAGAAGCATGTCTTCCCCATAAGAAAAACCTCCCCCAAGAGCTCTGACACGGTTTCGGCCCAACCTTCCAGGCGATAGGGAAAGAATCCAAACGCTGCCCATGCTCGGATTACAGCCAGATCTACAATTTCTGTATTCTTCTTGTCCAATGCCGACGAGTTGCGGAGCAAAACCAGAAACAGTCTTCTCAAGCAAGCATAGTCCGCCAGAGGCACACTACCAGTGCGCGCACAGTTTTCCAGTAGGACGCTCACTCGAATCAACAAAGATTCTGTTTTCATCCTTAGATCATTGGTGGTCGACGACGAAGTACCCTCCCTGTGTGCAAGCCATGGAACAACGGCATTCTCAATCCCATCCACCAAAATCTCCCAGTCAAACGCCGAGAGAATTCCATTCCCACCTCTGAGTTCCGCGTTTACGACTCTTTCCAAAGCTGCCATGGCATCCACGACGACCGGCCGGACTTGTTTGGTAAAGTAACTCGAACGCACAAAGCTCAGCCCAGTTTGGGGCTTTGCCGCGACCTTCGACTGTACAGTGGAGAGCAGCAAGGAGATGCTTTGAATGGCGCTGTGCCAAAAGATACGGAGGGAGGTGGATAGCTCTGAAAAGTCCGGTGCCACGCCAAAGAGAGCATGGCTGATCACTTTGACAGAGGATGAACAATCCTTTAGGACGAAATCGTCTGTTTGATCGTTCCATTTGAGAGTGTTGAAAAGTGGCGAATCGACGCTATCCTTATAGCCAATGGTCTGGGTAGCAATCTCGATGATGGAGAAGAGCACTGTAATGGATTGTTCCACGGATGTCTCATGAGCCAGCATGCCCCAAAGAACGTCGCTGGTGTCTGTCATGCACAACTCTCTTTGGGAAGCAAAGAATTCGATCTGATGGTCAATTTCTTCTTGCTCTTCTTCCACGCTCGTTGGCAAATCATTCGGCAAACCAGAGTTGTCAAAGAGAGGATACAGCAAGGTCGCTTCCACCCCCACGGTGCCCGACAATACGGCGTGTAGCCTACAGGCAGTCCTGACAACTGTTTTTTGAACATGACTCGGAATCAAGCCCCGTGTTGCCAATGCAAGGAGTGCAGAAAGCGCTTCCGCAGCGCACGATGATGCCTCCAATCGTTCCTGCCGTGCGTCATTGGACGTATCTTCCGCGGATGTTTGAAGATCGACCAACTGAATCCCTCGGCAGGCAATGACCAATAGGGCAAGAATGGCATCTTGTCCATCTCGCCCCCAAGGCAAGGGCCTCCAACCAGAGGTTATCAAGTCTGTCGTAGCTCTGGAAACCAATAAAATGTACTTCCATTGATCGACTGACGAGCTGCTGTAGATCTTTGCTGCTCTGCCACCATGATGGAATGCCCCAGCTGCTGCCTGTTGCGTAATCTGCTCATCATCCACCACTAGAAAGGAGAGCAGATCGCTGTCCTCTTGGCTTTCTTCTCTCCCTGTACAAACCAGTTTCAAACAGTATGCGAGCACCATTCCTACGGTTTCGTGTGCTCCCGGAATGTTCCATTCCATGATATCCGTGTCACAGTTGCCACTGCGATTGGCACAACAAATTTGCCGAATGACAAACAGTTGTGCTTCGACCAATTTGATTCTTTGTGTCATGGGGATACTAGCAGTAGTTGTTGTTGTTGTAGTCGCAGCCAACTCCAGAGCTTTGGCACTGGCATTGGCCGTAAATCGCAACAGCGCCGCCGGCAAAATGTCTGGAATGGGAGGATACCAGACATTCCGTTCTTGTTGGTCTAACCAGAGCGAATTGTTGATTCTTTCATCCAATGATTGAGGAGGATTCCTACCGGTAGTAGCCTCGTCATCATGATTGGAAGACAACGATGACTCATCGATATCTTCAATATTGGAAGACGAGTCATCCGGCAGAGTCATGGGAGTGATCTGGCGATGATGGGGATGCACATTGCCAGGTCGTCTTCGGAGTCGTCGTCTTTGCAATGCCTGATACCACCATGCCGGTCCGACACAAACGCGGGTCAGGGCGGCAATGGTCCATATGGATTCCTGCAAGACGGACCATTGATGATCCGTACAACTGCCATTATTATTTCTGCTTCGATGTTCAAATCCTCGCAAGGAAGCTCCCTGCACGGCCAAAAAGACATCCGATGGATCAAATAATGACGACAGCCAGGGCTGACGGCTGTCATCGTCATCATCATCGTACAACAACAAAGCTTCGTGCACTCCTCGCAGTCCGGCCACAATTTCGGCGGGTTCTTGGGCCGTCCACAACTTGGCCGTGGCCTCGCTTACCGTCGCCACATCGGGCTGCAGCGACATTACTTCAAGAACACTAACTACAGTAGCTCTGAGCTACCTTACATGTTCCATATTGGAGACAAGCTGCCAGTAGCTGGATTATAAATGCAAATGCGATGCAAGTGGCATTGTCAACAATAAGTGGCATCGAAGATGAATGAGGGGAAAGAAGGGGGTGCTGTTCTTTGTGACTGTCTGAGATTACAGCTCAGCAGCATTAAAAATGGTATCTTTCTCAGCCGTTGCTTTGTGACACCAGAACCAATTCTTTGAAGATGCACTCTCGAAAAAACACAAATCAACCGAAACTACAATAACATAAGCAAGCACAAGACAACACGACCATGGCAGATGAAACAGTTGTAGCAACGTATGATGGACGCAACATGGAAGAGCTGATTGGCTTTGTGGAGGAGGAATTTCCTTGTCGTTGGCAGGGAGTCTCAGGCACGCTGTACGCTGGAACGGATGGATTGGCCTTTTTGGGAAAGTTCTTTTTGTTTGACAAGAAAATGAACGTCAAATGGATCGATGTTAAAATTCAGCAATCGGATCATGGTGTGACCATACAGACTCGTGATGTCAAGGAAGAAATGGCCGTCATATACGACTTTACTGGAATTCACAAACCAGAACGATGTTGGTCCATGTTGGTATCCTTGCACAATCGAGCCTTGTTGGATCGGACGCGAACTCCTGCCAGTGGAGTTACTGCTTCCACCATGGGACGTCTGGAAGGAGAAGGAGCCACGGACGAGGCTGCCGCTACTCGAGCCAGATCCCAGACTGCCGCCCCCATTCATAGAAGAATGCTACGGCGTCAGACTTCAGATCCTGCTGCATTGGCTCCTGCCATTGAAGCCCTCTTTGCGGAGGAAGCCAAAGAAGAAGCAATGGCAGGCGACAGCACCCAAACACCAGGCCAAAGCAATGGCAGCAGTGTGCCGCTGTTGGAACGGCCCCTCAGCGCACGAAGGGTATCCTCCATTCTCATGAGCCCAAGCAAGCAACAAACCATTAGCGACAATAGTGCCACCCCACCATCATCCACGCAAAAAGAAACAGATAGGGCTGCTTCCCTCCGAGCCAGTGCCAGCAGTGCTGTAGGAGTGGTAGAAGTTAGTCCCACGTCGGAAATTGAAGCCATTGTGGGAAAGATTCAAGGAAGGTTTTCCTGTCTCTACAATGGCCAACCCGGCAATCTGTATGCGGGTAGCACTGCCCTCTACTTTGCTGGATCCCGACTCTTCTTCGCGGCACGCCTTACCATTCAATCCCTTAATATCAGACAAGTCCAAATGGTCAAGGGAAAACCAAAATCAGACGTCAACGACGCGCCAGCTGCGGACATGGTCAAGGAACAAGGCATTGTCGTGTGGACGCGGGAAGGTATCTCCCATACGTTCTTGGGCATGGAGAACCCCGACCAGGTCTGGGCGTCCTTGGTGGCAATTCGGAATCACGTCAGCAGTAATGCGACTGCCACGCCGAGATCTTTTGGGATGGTAAGGCGAATGAACTCTGATCCGAATCTCCAGTCCCACACGGGAGGGGATCTCCTTTCGCCGACGGCCATCAAGGTTGCGGCCGAAGCGGAAAAGTCAAGGGAGGAACAGGAATTGGGAACACCTGTCATGTCAGACGAAGAACTCCAGGAGGCATGGTCGGATGTCACTGCCAAGAAGAACCGATACAACACTGGTGTCGTCAAGGTAAGGAGTCGAGTCGAGTCTAAAAATCACCCAGAACAACGCTTTGGTTCCATCTGTCTGCTGTCTTTGCTTCCATCTGATATCCTTTCCTCGTTGTGCTTGCTGCAGGATCACAAATTTGCATGCAATGTCGACCAGTTCTTCAAGAAATACTTTGGAGATGACGCCGAATTTAGCCTGGCCAAGTTTTTGACTGGTCAAGGCGACAAGGATGTCAAGGCGTCTCCGTGGAAACCCACCAAACAAAACGGTAAGATTGTCCGTAGTCGCGTAGTTCGGTACATTCATCCCATCAGTGCTCCCATGGCTCCACCCGAAGCCAAGGCTCGCAAGGAACAGACCTACCAACGCTTTGGCAACCATGGATTCATTGTGGAGACCAAAACATTTGTCGACGATGTTCCCATGACGGATTGCTTTTTTGTCAAGGACCGCATTCTTGTAGCGTCTTTGGGGGAAGAGAACAAGGGACATGTCTTGCTGAGCTGGGAGTTTGAATTGGAGTTTGTGAAGGGCACGATGTTCAGAGGGATAATTACCTCAACGACAAATAGGGAATTGACTGCCTTTGGAAAAGAAATGAAAAAGTACATGGTGAAGAACAGGGGAGAGGAAGTTTCTGCTCCAGAGGAGGAGAAGGAAGTGGAAAAGGAGATTGTGATAGCAGAAGAACCACCGAGTCTATTACCGGGAGGAGTCAATACTGCCACCATTACGCATGGCCTTTTGGGTTTGGTGGTTGTGATGCAATTTTGGATTCTTTTGGAGATGTGGTCGATGAAACGAGCTATTGGACGGATCGAGTATTCGAACAGCCGACCTGCCTAATATCCCAATCAATAGGTGACGCATAGCCAGCTATAGACTACACTAAGTCTTATGTACCGTAAACCTTTCGTTTTGTTGTTGCTTTTGTTTTTGTTGTAGAGTTATACCCTGGGTCTCTTGGCATCGACCTCCATGGCGACGACTTCGAGATCTTGTTTGGTGGGCGAATGTTTGTTTTTGCCTTCTTGCTGCTCTGCCACTAGAGTTCCATGTACAGCTTGCGGATTCCATGTCACCCTTGGCAAGTAGTAGGTATCCCTACCATGCCAATACTTGCGTCGAACACCATCCCACGCCTTTTCATCGACCTGTATTTGACAGGGCAAAAACTCTGCTTCCAGGCCGAGCTGTGCCAGTTGCAGTTTGACACATTGGCAGGCTGTGGAAATACAGTAATAGTTGGAATAGAAAGAATGATCGATAAAAGGTCAGAAAGAACAACAAAATATTTTTCAATAGTCTTGATATATTTTTTCCTTTGACTCACCCACTCCATGAAAAAATAGATTGTCGGGTGCCAATCCATTAAAAAAGGAGTAAATGCCGTGTGGTTTGGATAGCATTTTGACCATGATTTGATGAAAATCTTCCATATCCATGAAATGTTCTCCGTAGGTGTCGAAGAAAATGGCATCGACGACCACACCCTGTTGAATGAGTGCTGGCATGACATCTTGCCATCTTCCAAAACATATTCGAACATTTGGTTTTTGATCCCATTTTTGTTGCAACATGTGTTTGTATACATCCGGATGCGCTTCAATGATAATGTGCAACGAGGGCCCCAATTCTTGCAAGGCCGTGTCGATGATTCCCATTCCAAATCCGACATTCAAGACACGTTTCTTGTAGGTGGCCGTGTCGGCAGGTGACACTTGTTCCATGAGAATTTGTGCATGGGCTTTCATGAGTGGACGTTCCCATTCCATCATGACGGCATCATTGTCGGCATCGAGCAAAGCAGAAGAATCGTTATTGTATCGAAGAGGTTGTCGCAAATAATCGGGTTTGGTCGATGGTTGATGCGCTTCCGGAATGGTACTACTAGTAGTAGTACTGCTAGTACTCGAGGAGTGAAATGGCAACCCCACGGTTTGTTGTTCTCGTTGTGCGGCTCCCAGAATCAATTCGGCGCGAGTGCCCCACTCGACCAAGAAATTGATGACTTGCCATTTCTCATGGTCCGTGGCATAATTTCCGGCACATTGGCCATTGCGATCGACGGCATTCCAAGGAGCCCCCGCTTCCAACAAGAGCTGTACCAATGGTAAGTGGCCTTGAGCGGCCGCCACCATGAGAGGACTTTGTCCTGTGGTTTCGTCTTGAAGCGATGCATAGAGAGGATTTTCGACCGTAATCAAGTGACGGACTGTCTCGATATCTCCCTTGGAACAGGCATCCAGCATGCGAAGAACATTTCCAGAGTTTGTCACTGGAGGTTGGAGATTGATCGTCGTCGATGCTGCCATGGTGGTCATGTTGTTGCAAGCCTTGGTGAGCAAGAAGATAAAGTCGAATGGCAGTGAAATTGCGAGACGGAACAAAGAAAAAGTGATCGAAGAGGGCAGCAAGAAACAGCCGTGGGAAGAGGAAACTGAGACCTCGAATTGGATGTTCTTCGATGTTGGGGTGTTGGGCTGCCAGTGGGCTGGGTGGCTCGCAGGGTGTCGAAGAAACGCCGACTGGAGCATTTGTGCGACCGACGCCTCAAGGTTCTGAGCCCAGGAGAAAAAGATCTTTCGCCCTCCAAGAAAAGAGGACAACAAAAGACACAAAGGAAGCAACAGCAAACCTTTTACATCGTCACAGCAAGGGACAAAGACAACCGCTCAGCAACAGAGCCAGCAAAAGGAAAAGCACTTGAGTATTAGCAACGGTAGCACCCAAACCACAGCATTATTGCAGAGCGCCACAGCTTGCAACTCCAAAGAAATCCAAGCTACCAATCAAACTAAATCAGGTTCGGAAACAAACCACCAACCATGGCACCATCGGCTCTAGATCTCGTGGACGAAGCCATTGCGGATCTTCAAGCCCGTCTTAATCTCAATCCAACTTCCACAAAGGCAAAACCCAACCAGGCAAAGCAACAGCAGCAAAAGAAGCAACAACAACAAAAGAAGGACAAGAAAGCGGCTGCTGCTGCCAAGAACAATAATAATAATAACAACAACAACAGTAACAACAAGAATCAGAACCAGCCCAATGAAGACCAACCCCATATCTGCAAACTCGAATTCAAAGTGGGAGTCATTACCAAAGTTTGGAATCACGAGACGGCAGACAAGTTGTACTGTGAAGAAATTGATATTGGAGAAGCAGAGCCCAGGCAAATTGCTTCGGGATTGAGACCTCAGTTTACTCTGGAACAAATGCATGGACAAAGGCTTTTAGTCGTGGTACGTATGTGCATATTGGGGAGAAGGATTATCTATGTTTTCACCTCTCGTTTTGTCTGAAATCTCATCTCACCCACCTTCCCTTCCATGCTACTCTAACTTGCTAACTTACTAACATACTTTCAGTCAAACTTGAAGGCCAAAAAGTTGGTGGGCTTCAAGAGTCATGGCATGGTGTTGTGTGCTGCTCAAAAGAAAGAGGGCAGTGACGAAGAATTGGTCGAGTTTGTAGAACCACCTCCCGACGCCAAAATTGGAGAAGTCGTCACATTTGAAGGACTGCCCAAACCAGAACCCTTCAGTGCCAATCAAGTCGACAAGAAAAAAGTCTGGCAAGCTTGTGCCGAAGGCATGAAAACCAATGACGACAAAGCGGGCACTTGGAATGGACATGTGTTCATGACCAGTGGTGGGCCTTGCAAGGCCAAAACCATTGCCGCAGGAGTCATGAGATAGGTACAACACAATAAAGAATTGTGAACTAACTATCTAGCTACTATCTAGCAGCGAATCGAATCGATCTACCCTACATATATGTTAGCAACCATTCAATTCGTGAATGTACATGTATAGATGTTTCCATCATTGTGCCCTTACAGCAGGCCCATTATGTGCAGTACGACAGTACGGTACCACAATCACGAGTTGAGTAAGAAAAGCAGCATCAAAATGGTTCCCATTATTACTTCTTTATTGTAGCGGCAGCATCAGTATGATGACACTCTCCATTCATAAAATGCCGGAATCCATGATTGGCGCCGTTGGACTGTGCTTGTCTTGGACGCACGGATTGTTGCTGTTGCTGCTGTGATGCCTGACTCTTGGCACTTGCCACCGACTGCAACTCGGCCAACAACTGATCAAAAAGGTCAATGGGAGGAGGATATTGACGTGTGTTGTCAGGTTTCCCTTGCTTGGAGGAGGATGACGACGATGATGATTTGGGCCCTCCTCGGAGGTTGCCCGTAATAACATACTCCAAATGCTGGCAAATGGTTTCCAGACAGCGCGGCATTTTGCTGGTGCCTCCACTTTGCAGGGCGACGGCCAACTTGGTAGCATAGCTCCCCAGTCGGACGGCTTCATCCCATGCCCCCTTGATCAATGCCTGTGTTTTGGAATCCAGGCGAAAGGCACCGTTCTTGTTGGAAGAGTTGGATATAGACGAACCACCACTGCTATTTCGTTTGAGCTCCGGAGTCGCATTCTCCGTCATGGCCAAGACGGGATACTTGGCTGGCAGAATGGCAGAGATGTGGCGACATTGTTCTCTATATTCCGTGATCTCGATTCCGAACCGTAGTATTTGCAATGTCGGATCATCCATTGGCAAATGTCGTGGATTATCGTGTGGATGTTGTTGCGATTGGCGAGCACTAGTAGTGGTGGACAACATTGTATATTGCTGCTGCTGTTCCCATAGAGGCTCTACAGCTACGTTCATCATCCGCTTGCTCCGTGCCGTGGTTTCGTCTCCCACAATGAGCTCGGCATGCTCCAATAAGCTGTTTTCGTACGATTGTACAATTCGAGCCGACAGCGACGCGACCCATCGTTTGTAATTGTCGAGACTGGACGCACGAAACCGATGAGGCACACCCGTGGCATCCACAATTTCAAAGCAAAAAGGCGTGCGAGCCAGTGGTGATTTGGGTTTTTCCTTGGACGGTTGTACCAGGAGTGCCCGTGTCAATCCGATGCGTTTGTGCTTTGCGTAGCTGTAAAATTCGGGTTGCGGTGATTGCTGTTTTTTCTCTTCTTCTTCTTCATTATTGCTGCCACTCAAGGAAGTACATGTAGTAGTATTGTCTAATCGGGTGTGTATTCTGGAAATGTACCACAAATGTTCGTCCGTCAAAACGCAGTGTACTCGTTTCCATACATGGGGATCGGCAATGGACTGTTTGAGGAGGTATCCCGAGACGCAATCATGTTGGAGTGACGATTGGCACATGGTGAGTTCAAAGTACCGTTGTCTTTCTTTTTTGAATATTCGATCTTTTTCGGACATGGTTTTTTCGGATGCGTCTTGAGCTGTGGTTGTTGTTGGACTTTCGATTGGCAGAGTGTCGGAGGAGGTCTCTGGTTCGGGTAGATTGCTCTTATTGCTCATGACAGTGCTCAAAGCATCTTGCTTTGAATGCTGTTGTTGTTGGCTGTGATTGCTACTATTATTGGCGTCAGATGATGAATCATCCAAATCGCTCTCATCGTCATCTTCTTCCTCATCGTCTTCCAGAGACGTGGAATATCCATCTAGATCAATATAGCTTGGAATGGGACTCGATGGATGATTGGTTCCTGGGACAAAGTACCATTGGAGTTTGGGAGAAACAGAGGTTGCTCTCCTGGCTCCATTGGTGGATGCAAATGCCGCGGCACTGTCTTCCAATACTCGCTTCAACTGGTCCATCATTCGATTCCGTTGTTCGGTGGGATTGTCGCTCGGTGAAAGAGTTTTGATGACATGAAAGGGAGGATCACTGCGCGTAAAGGCGGCCACTGCGGGTCTTCTCTTGTCGCGACTATTAGTATTGTTGTTGTTGTCAGTAGCCACGGAACGAACCGAGACTTCATCGGAATTGCCAAACTGGCTCTTATTGGCATTGTCCAATCGTTCGTGTTCAAAGCGGACATACTGCAAGGGCAAATAATACAGTGTCCCCACCAATACAAGACAGTCTTGCTCCCATGCCTCCTGGACTACATCCCAACTGGGTGTTGTAGACGCATCGTTCTTTTGGTTGTTGTCGTTGTCATCGCTTTCCGCCTCTGGCGTTTTTAGATTGAGCGTCTCACAGAGTAGCTTGGTCACATCCTTGGCACGAGCTCCGTTGGACGAGATCCGAATGGCCGCAGAACTCGTAATCAAGTCTCGTCGACTCAGCGTTGTCGTCGCAAGAGATTTCGAAGACGGCCATTGTTGCCAATAGATTCTGTGAGATTCACCGCCCTTGCTGCCGTCGGCCATGGTCAAAAATAATTGGAATTCGTCTCGAGTCTGTCAGTCACCGCCAATGTCTAGCACCACAGCATTTTCGGTTTCCGGCTGTACAGTATACTTCTAAAGCTTGCTATATAGCTAGGGTCCCAATGCGCACAAGGAGGTGATTCGATTCGATTCTTAGCAAGCACCCGTACTTGTCAAAAACAAACTATGGATTTGATTTCGATTGGAGTGCCGCTGCGTTTTGCTGTTCCGCTTACTTTTGTATGGTTGTTTCCGGTTTAAAGTTACAGACGCTCACTGGATCAAATCTTTCGAGGGGGCAGTCAATCCCGAGCATTCAATTCACGATCAGGATACCGGTACTCTAGACTCTAGAGAAGCACAGCGCTGTCTTTGCTATCATTGCAATCAGTCCGAGGAGACCATGGAGATGGAGAATCACCAGCATAGCGAGAACGATAATGTTGACTGCGATCCTTTGACGAATAACGAGCCTCAAGCCCATGACATCCTGGAGGAATACTTCACTGAAAGTCCATGTTTTGACACCATTCGCAACATTGATACCAAAGTGGAATACAGTCATTCTCTAGTGGCAAAGTCGGCATCAGATGCCATTGCTGCCCTTCTACTGCTGGAAGAATTCCCTGCTTTGGCAGCAAAGCATTTCACTGGTCGTGATTTTTTTGATTTTCGTCCCCATCGGATTGGGTGTAGGACACCGTTATACCCACTTGCGTTTTTTGTCATTAACAATTTTTACAGCAAGATACTCAACAGAGTCCTCAGACTATATCCAGAAGCAATCAATCAGTCCTTCGAAGAGTGGTCAAGTCTACTGGAATATGCTTGTTCAGACTTCCCAAATATCAACCATCAAACACTCAACTGGTTGGCATCCCACGTCAACCAAAACTTTAATACTGCAAGGCCATTCCTCAGCTTTTTCACCCACAACCGCTTGGAAAATCTGAGCCTAAACGGCCCTTCACATGATGAAGAAATTCTACAGATCCTGCTTTCCAAAAGTCCAAATTTCACGGCCGATGACAATGATGCAGTCCAAGAGTTGTTGAAAATTGTTATTGCAGCTGACCTTGACAATGAGATTGTCCTGCAATTGCTGGAACAAATTCCAATGGGCTCCCGTGTCTTGGATCTCGAGCAGGATCTTTTGTGCAGTGTGTTTCAACGTGAAGATGAGACCATTGAGTGGCTAACCGGTTCCAGGATTGACCTAATCTTCTCGCAGATGTTGCCGAAGCTTTCAGAGCTTCGACTTGACCTGAATTGTTTTGAAGATTTCATGTGGCTGGACAAGTCTGGGATGAAGACTGAACCTGAATGGACACGTGCAATCAAACTGCTACTTGCAAACTCTTCAAGCCTACAAAAGCTTTCTTTGTCGATTCCAACAGACATCGCTTGGACAAACCCATTTGCCACCACTATGATGAAGTACTTGATTCAGCAGCACATTTCATCGACGGAGCTTCATCTGCGTCTCTACAATCAATGTAATGGGGGTTGTTGGTGGATGTTTGAAGATGAAGATGAAGGTGTCGGACAGTTCTACCTCTATGGCAACGAACACAGCTATGGCAAGGTCAATGGTGAGATTGAAGAAAAGCTCCGAAGCAATACAGTCCAGAGCACAGACGAATTTACCAACAACCGGTTCCTGGAATTTTTACTGAATGTTGTCCAAACAACCCCCAACAGTACCTCAAGGGGCAAGGGCAAGTCCACGATTGAAGAAATTAAGCTACAGCATTTGGAAAACGTGCACGCTGAGTACCTTGCAAAACTCTGTGTTCACACCAAATCATTGCAACTTGATTACACATCTGTGATATCCCAGACGGCCTATTCTCCCTCGCTTTGCAAGCTATGGAAGCGGCCCTACCCCAACATATTTTCATGTTGTGGCTCTCAAGCTATGCGAGCGATGTCATCACTGCCCTGCCACCAAAATATTTGGACAACAAACGCGACGTTTGCACATAGATTTGATTGTGGAGCAAGCTTGGTGAAGCTTTGCCTCAAGGGAATAATGCCTGACTTCGCTCCTGAAAAAAAGGAGAGTTGGTTGGATGCGACATCCGCTCTGGTTACGACCCTTGGTATTGACACACTTGAGGTTCTCCAGTTCTCTGGCATTGAGCATCAACGACTAGAACTTGCTCTCTTTGGCGCAGCAGTCAAGAAGAACCGCAATCTGCATCGGCTAGAGTTGGATGGATTGAATTATGTTTGCACTGACCAACGTTCTGTCTTGGAGTGGTTTCTGGAGATGCTAGAGGGGAGCGTGAACAGGGTACTGTCATTCCTCTTGATTGGGAGTCCAAGCAGGTATCACTTCATCAACTTCGATGCAGACGGCCTTGCCAGCAGTCTCCTGTCCCATGGGGCCTGGGCAGTATGTGGTCGCTATGCATCTTTTTTGAAACCAGTAGCTGTAAAGATTCAGCACCTGTTATGGTTGGCACACTTTGGACGACAGAGAATGACAAACGAAAACACCACAGTAAATGACCTTGTTGAGATCCTTTTGAAAGTGATGTCTGTTTCATCTAGGCAGCTTGCTTTTGCTGTCAACCCAGGGCACCCAAAAACTACCTTACAACCGGAAAAGGATAAGACAGGAGTGCTGTATGGTCTTCTGCGTGAGAAACCCTCTCTGTGGTGCTGCTCTACTTCAAAACATTCACATGGTCAAGCTTCATCCTTGAGAGGAGGGAAAAAGCGGAAGTTTGCAGCTCCTGAAGGACCAGCATGCACATAAAGAAGCGTAGAAGATAATTACTGGGTGATCAGCACCATGCACTACTAGCAGCACATTGCGCTGGTCCAAACCTATACTAGTATCTGGCAGCGTCCCAGTGGTCAACTAGCAGCCGCTATGCCGAAAAATATGCTCATGAAAATGGTTGTCCATGGTACAAACTCACACTCCAAAATATGCCAACGACAATGGGTGTCCTTGGGACCAGGACACAACATTCAGTGCGACAACATATGGACATCCAGATATTGTCAAACATGCCCATGAAAAAGGCTGTCTGTGGGACGAACCCAAGTGCAGCAACATGGTGAAAGTGGCCACTTGGAAATCCTAAAATATGCCCATGATCATGGCTGCCCCTGAGATACCTGGACTCACAGACTTGCTGCTGGAAGTGGCCCCTTGGATGTTTTCAAAGATACATGTACTCATGAATGCGGCTGTCGTTGAACAGCTGCAACCATACGCCTGCAAAACAATTTTTGCTCCCAACAAACGGAACGGCAAACAAACCCAAACCAAAGCAAAACTGCTGCAAAGACCATTCAGCACGGGACCTTTCGGATATCAACTCCACATATTTGAATTACCGGTAGTATGCAAGTGGAGACGCCCCACCACCCACCACCACTACCCCCATGTTTCATGGACTTCTCCCTGAAACTCTCCATGGGGTCCAAAGGAACGCTCCACAAACGAACTTGAATGGTGATTGTTGTTATTGTTTTTGTTGTTTCCCACAAGCAGAACAGAGCACGCCCTTGTGCCGTACCAATCTGATTCCATGAAAGGTGACGAGACCATTTTTTCAAATGCTTCGGGGCAGCCGGTATCTTTGTGGGGGACATCTTTGTCGGGTGCTTTGGTGGAATCTTTCAAGACCTCAAACAATTTGGTTCGGAGTTCCATTTCTTGGTCTGACTCGGATGTTGATAATATTTTTGACGAACTGTTGTCATCCGAGATGGCATTTTCCAACACGGCGGAAAAACGCTGCTTGGCTCGTATCACTTTGGGCCAAGGATAATCGAGGAATCGATTGCAGAGCGCATAAACTCGTCCAGATTCCAATTTTTGAATGTTGCCTTGAATGAGGGAATTTCCATTGCCATCATTGCTGCGATTGGAATAACAGTAGAGACCATCACTGGCATCTCCCACCAGCAGATTGAATCCACTGTAAAAGCAAGTCTGATCCGCCTCAATGGCTTCCAAATACTTCAAGGGTGAGACGTTGGACGTCAAAAAGTCAGACACCAAATCTCCTCGAGACTTGCGGGTGGCATGGGACGGACGTGCTTGTGCGTCTTGTTCGTCTCGTCGCGGCTCTCGAAAATTGGTGACGGCCGCGAAACGTCCTTGCTTGCTGGTGATACCCATCCACATTCCTCCAGCCTCCAAGTCCTTGCCGGCCAAAATCTCATCATCGTTCGTGCTTCGACAGGTTTGACTTGTTGGCCAGTAGTGAACCCGCTCCGTTGGGCGAGAATAGACTTCGTCGCGATTGGCTGCCACCACCAACGAATACTTGGAATTCGATGTGGCAGGCTGATGGATAAAGAGAATCAAACACATTGGTCGGCAGTCATCCAACAAGTCCTTTTGCGCACTCAACGGCATCCACAGTTGCCATTATCGCAACCCCGCATTCCACCTTCGAAAGAGGCACAGTCGTGTACAGTCGTACCGCTTCCTTCTTGGATCTTTTCAACTCGAACGACTGAAGGAAGTGGCAAAGCTCACAACAACTGCCCCTCTTGGCACGAATTGTGAGCGCGAAATAATGGGAGGAAACACGGCACGGGGGTGCAACTGTCGCTTAAATAAAAGGATCCAAGAACATCCTGGACTGGTACAAGTTTTACGAGATTCTTTAAGCCTTTCGCAAGCAGTCTTCATGAACGACCGAAACGCATTTCACGACAAATTGCCGTAAGGTTGTTGGGACGTGGGATTGCGGAGACGTGCGGTACTGAGCCTGGATTGGACTGGAACCAACTCCTCCAGTAACAGGAGCTCACAAAATCGATCCAAAAAGCAAGAACAAAGCCGCCACGCCGCCACCCATCCTGCCAACAAAGGAAGCACAAACAACCATGAGCAACGTGAAAGTCCTTTCCAACGACGACAACCATGTCGGACAGTCGTCTCCCATTAGCTTTAGTGGCCAAAACCCCGCCACAGACGACAAGATCCCCAGAGCATTCATCTGCCCGCTGACGCTCAATGTCATGCAAGACCCCGTCATGGACGCCTACGGCAGCACTTATGAGCGGTCTGCCATTGTAGAGTGGCTCGCCGTCAACAACACGAGCCCCGTTACACGACAACCGCTAGCCAAAGACCATTTGGTGCCGAACCGGGCCCTCAGAGATCTCATCTACTCCTTTATGGGGCCACAATGGAGTCTAAACGCCGAGAAAGAAATCCAACCCATTCCGGAAAAGCATCGGCCGGTGGTGCCCGTGCCGGCCCCACCTGCTACTTCCACCAACAGAGATTGGAGAGGGATCATCGACAGTTTTCTAGAAGAGATTAGTCGAGCTGTGGGCAAGAATATACGGCTGAATGACCAAGGCATTTGCGCATTCACCTATGAACACTTGACAATCGTCATTGAAGTGCCGCAGTCCGTGGGATCCTTCTTTCTGTATACCGAATTGAAAACAGACCCACGCAAACGAGCACAAGTTTTGCAAAAGGCAATGGCTTTGAATTATTTGCAACAGGAAACCAGAGGCGGGTGCATGGGCTGGGACAAGGTGAACGATGAACTCATGTTCAGTTATTCCGACCGCGTCAACGAAATCAATGCCACTGATTTCAGAAATATTCTGGAGAACTATATTGACACGGCGCTCAGCACATCCAAGATTTTTAAGGAAATGTAATTCGCTAGTGTAAAATCACAGTTTTGGCAAGCCATCAACAAAGGAACCAACCAAAATCCGCAGCGTTAGTGCCCGTTATTGATTGTCCTCTTGTCTTTTGCTCCTCTTCTCCTCTTTTGCTCTTCCCCACATCTTGATCTTTTGCTCCTCTTCCCTTCCCTGCGCTTGCCTGCACGGTTGGTCAGCCCTCCGTGGCGGGTTGACAACCCATCTCCTTTTGCAAGCCCAACTCTTTGCAGCCGTGGCTCATCAAGTCCCAAAGAAATGTCATTGTTGGTGCTGGTAGGGTTAAGGTCATCTTAATAAGGTCATCAAACCACCAGCTCCATCACATCGCATCCAATCTGCATGACCACGCTAGAAATGGCCCAACAGCGAGAATTCTCCCTGTTGCCAACACGCAATCTTTCCCCGTGGAAGATCTTGGAGAGCTCCCTCCAGCCCCCAGACAGGTCCTTCAAAAAAGAAACGGTCAGACGCTGGGGTTCTCAACAAGCATTCTCCCTGGAACGTCTCCACTTTACTGACTTTTGGCGATTTTACCAGAAAAATCTCAACATGAATTGATCATTACTCAAATCGCTCATGATGAATTCATCATCAAGTTCAATACTTTCATCATTTTAAAATTCATCATGAATGTTTAAATTCATCACTAATTCAATTATTTTCATCAAAATTCATCACATTGCAGCACAAATGCACGCTGTATTTTCAATAAATTTCATCACAGATTCATGATGAATTGATGATGAATTCAAAGTTTCATGATGAATTCATCACCAATGTAATTACTTTCATCATTAATTCATGATGAATGGTTTAATTCATCACCAATTCATCAAGTTTTAGAAAATTCATCATAATTCATCATAGGGGAGACGTTCCTGTTGGGCCCATTCTCCCTGTTGGGCGATTCCTAGCACGGACACGCAATACATAGACACGCAATACATACATGTAGCGGTAACACAGGAAGCAAGGACATTGGAAAAGAGCGCACTGACGAACGACAACAACAGCCTCACGGCCACTTTTGATACTGTCGGTCGAATCTATTTTTCTTATGGAGGCGAACAACTTATCCGACGTGCCTCGGACGTTGGGATTCATTTCTGGGGGAGCCATGATTTGTCATTGTCACAAAGAGGTCTGGATGAAGTAACCGACTCCAAAACAGGGGATTTGTTGCTCTCATTTGTTGCTGATTGGAAACCCTTGAAAGAACTGTGGATTTTTGGAAATGACGAAGACGAAGATGGTTCCGTGTTGCCTGTTTTTCCCTCATAGAGCTGTTTCAACGTGTTGGCTCAGTATGCCTTTTGAATGCGTTTGCCTCTAAAAACCTGCAACTCTACGGGACCGTCGAGCAGTTCAAGAGCCTCTCCACAACTATACAAAAGTATCATCCCAATCTAGAGACTCTAGATTTTCCATCGATTGCCATTGTTGGCTCGGAGGTGAACAATGAGGAAACTCGAGGGTTGATGGATCCTTTGCTTCCGCTTCTGGTTGGGAGGGAACAGACATATCACCTGGATTTCATGCCACACCTTGTGACAAAACAAGGAATTGAAGCAATTCTTTCATTGTCCAATTTGAAAAAGCTGTATCTATGCTGCAGCAGAGCATGGCCTGAGGAAACCGTTGTTGCGGCAATGCGTTGTCTGGTGAAGAACAAGACAATGACGGCGTTCCAAGTACTGTGCTCATCCATCAGCAATACAGAAACAACTAGAGCCATTTGCCATGCCCCGACAAGCAACGACACACTCGAAAGTTTTCACTTGGGATTTGAAGACGTTGGCCACGATGGTGTGTGTCAAATCTTTGAGGCGCTTGCTTTGTCAAAACTGAAAACCTTGACACTGAAGAGTTTCGGCACGATGCTGCTTCAACCTCGTCTGTTTTCAGCAGCCAAGCAAGTGCTGGAGAAGAATGCATACCTTCGGAACTTTGGTGGATGGGCTCCCCACAGTTTACCATTGGAAGTTTTAGATACCTTCGACTTTTACCTCTCGGATTTGAACATTTTCGGAGAAAGAGCTTTGCTACTGGAAAATCCTGAAAATCACACACTGTGGGTGGAGGCATTGGTCAAGTCAAGTTGGTCAAGTCAAGTTGGAATGTTGCTTCACTGTTTTACTTTCTATCAGAAAATCCAGCCTTGATTACTCAACTTGTGCAGCAGCCCCGCCATTCCATCCAGGCAACGTTTGCCAAGCGAAAGCGTCTCTATTGTCAAGCCAAATACTCTGATATGAAGCGGTTCAAGTACGGTTGTTGAAAACTGAGGTTTGGATCGATGGAGGCCGCCGTCTTGTTGCTGATAAAAGTCCCATACTGTAGTGTAGCTCAAGAGATCAGAGACTATAATAAATGGCGGGCACACACAACATATGATGGCCTCTTTTTGTGTATGTCTGTCTGCTCTAGCTGGCTCTACCGGTACTAGTAGTGGTATTGTAGAGGACAGCATCAGCTCCATTTCTGTAACAGTCCTTTACAGCTCAACAGGATCATTTCCAGATCACGCGGGAACCACTGCGGCAAGCGGTCTTCTCTTCTCGAGCAAAAGATCCAACAGTTCCGTCCTCGGTCTTCGATCTTCTTCACAAACTCGATTGTTTGTGGATAACAACCACTCCTATTCTTGCTAGTAGTATTGGTTAATAGTCGCCCAACGTATCAAGATAATGGCCGAAGAGTTTCATCAAGGTGCCGTGGCAGATCCCCACAATCCAGATCGAGGGATTCGAGGAGCCAAGATGATTCATGAACCAGGCGAAACGGGGGAGACGGCAACGATCAGCTGTGGCACTACCAAAGGCCCCTTTGTGGCCAAGTTTCATCGCGATTGGTCTCCTAATGGCTACGACAGAGCCACTGCGTTGTTTCAAAAGGGATTCTTTGATCACAGTCACTTCTTCCGGGTAGTGCCAAATTTTCTCGTCCAGTTTGGAATCAGTTATAGCGAAAACAAAGGTCTCCAGCAATTTTCTCGTACACAAGTCGCCGATGACCCTGTGCCGGATCCCAAGATCCCCTTCCATAAAGGGATCATGTCCTTTGCAGGTGCGTGCATACTTGAGCCGGCCAAGCCTGTGGGTCTTTTGTCTGCACTATTTCGGGTTAAAGATGGAGGATGGCTGTTGCCATTTCATTGAACTCACCGACCCTTGAATTCTACGAACTTTTTTCACCCATTATTAGGAAATGGACCCAACAGTCGAACATCCCAAATGTTTATTTCCTACGGTAGCCATCCCAATCTTGGTAAGGACCAATCTTGCGTATGCCTATACCCTCTTTCAACCATTTTCCTCACGAAAGACCTTCTTTGCAATTCGTAGGAAAAGAACTCTGGGAGACACCCTTTGGAGAAGTAGTCGAAGGCATGGAACATATTGAGGAGTTGTATTCCTACGGTGGTGCGTACGATTAAATGAATATGTCGCTGGAATACTCAGACCGTTTTTCCAGTTCACCTCATATATACCTCTTGGTTTTTTCTGGGACACAACAACTTGCTCTTACTTATTCAATGACTAGATATGCCTCCGTGGGGAAAGGGCCCTGTACAGGGCAAGATTCACAGCGGCCCCGACTACATCAATGACAACTTTCCTCTGATTGACAAGTTTGAAGAGTGCAGAGTGATCATTCACAAACCCGACGATCATGCTCCTTCGGCAAAGGAAGATGAAAATGACCAAGGAGAAGGAAATGACCAGAAAGAAAAGGAAGAGGAGGAAGATGCCGACACGACCGAAGAAGAAGTTGAAAAGAGGGAAGAACAAGAAGACAAGGAGGAAGAAGAAGCGGAAGAAGAGATTGGCCGACCGGAACTACACAATCGCCGCGAAATTCGAGACTTCAAAAACGCCCAAGACAATGCTGATGATCCTGTCGAATTGGAGCAAAGGCAATTGATTGCCGCCGAAAAGGAACTGAGTGGGTTTGAAGATATCATGCAAGTCAGTGCCGTGGTGGCTGGTATCGTGTTGATGGTGTTGGGAGTTGCCGCACTGTCGCGCCGGTCGCGGACCAAAAAGCACAAGAATTGATCTTGCTGTACGGTGCGGCGAGCTAGTTATATTGCGGTGATCACCTAGCTCTGGCAAGCTATAGTTGTATTGCTAGCAACAAACAACAATCAGCTCGAATTTCTGAAACAAGTGCAAAAGAAGACCTGCAGGTCTTGCTCTGACGACAGGAGACGAAGACAATCGCTATCTAGCTAGGATAAGAGGCAGGGCTTGCTGTTGTCCTGCAGGTACTGACAATTTTATAGCAAGTTTTCTTCAACAGAAACGAGGCCCATGTCTAGTCCAATTTCTGTAGGACTGGCGGACAAAAATCTAGATAGCTTTCCTACAGTGATGTCATCTGCTGTGTGACACGTACTTGACCCCAATGCAACGACAAGCGAGCACGACTTACGTCCTTCCACAGCTTCCATTACGAGCTGCCTCCGCAGCAACACCACAAAGTGAAGCTTTTGATGCACCTTTGTGTCAAAATTTGAATCAACAGCGTTTCGGAAGTTGCCAGATCCGAACTACCATCTCTAATGCAAAATTGGTCTATAGGTTTCCAAGTTGCTCTATGTAGCAATCTAGCGGTCATGACATGCACCTATGATGTCGTCGGAGACTGCCCATTGGTTCCTTCTGGACGACGAAGCCGAAGTCCCTCGTCTGATTCCACCAACCCCATGGCCCTGGCTCCATCTGCCCAGTACTGCTTCCCACCGCTGGCTGTATCTCGACGATCCCGCAAATTCCGTAGGTCTGCCTTCAAATGTGGGGGGATGCATTGGCAGGATTCGCACAAATGACTAGAAGAAACAAGAGAAGATGCCAACCGTGAGATTTGCTCGCGAGAAGTGCGGTTTTTGCCTTGCACATGTATGTCTGTCTGCTGCACCAACCTGCTTGCCATATTCTGAGCCGCCTGGTACACTCCCTGTAGTCTAGCAGGGTAGTAGACAGCACCCCTGAAAAGCGAACGAGCCAGTGAGTGGATGCTACTGTACAACTAGCCTGCAAGCGAGTCATCTTCCGCGTTGTCCTTACCTTCCACGTTGCCGAAGTGACAGCCCTGAGCAGTGTCGACACCGAATTCCCACCTGTCCCAAAATGACCTGCTTCTTGCGCCCCTGTGTATTGGATTCAACATCTTCTGGCTGAGCCTCAAATATCTCGAGTTGCTTTCGAACCTTTAGAAGATGGGGTGAGTCAATAAGCTATGATAACTGAGCAAAGTCAGAACGTGCCAGTCGTTTTCTTACCAGCATTTGATACTCGGAAAGCTGTTCATCGTCACAACTGAGCGCCAACGTAATCCCTGCCCTTCGGGGTGGCGGTGCCTGTATATGAGGGACATTTGATATGGGTTTGGCAGAGCTACTGGCATATTTGTCCGGAGGACCTGCATGATTGGTGCCACCACCGGTGCCGTAGGATTGCGCCATGGAGATGGGACTCATCATGTTGGGCATGGGATAGTGTCCAAAGAACATTCCCGGTGGCGGGTACCCGTAGGGCGTCATGTGCATGGGTGGCACCATTCCTGGATATTGGTAGGCATGACGAGAGGGCGAAGAGGGATGATCGGGTGGAGGTTGTTGGTAATATGCTGCTTGTGGATGGTGATAATGAGGTGGCTGTTGCTGCTGTTGTTGCGATCCTTTGGGCTTGCTACATTCTGTTGCTGTTGTTGTCCGTGGTTGGCACTACTGGGCGAATGAGGCCCCTGTTGGGGTGGTGTAGCGGCCGCCTGTGGTGGTGGCGGTGGTTGTCCCGGAGGCATCATGGGTGGCGCTGGTGGGCCTGGATATGGCGGGGGATAGGAGTATGGAGGATAGGGTTGCATCATGCCAGGATACTGTCCATACATGGAAGGATAGTAACCTCCTTGGTGCGGTTGTTGCTGCATCTGAGGAGGGTATTGTTGATGTTCTTGTGGTGTGCTGATGGTGCTGTTGTGTTGTGTGTGATGTTCTGCTGCTGCTCTGCCACATTGCTGCCAATGGGTTGATTATTGGGGGTAGCAGGAGCTTGCTCAGAGGAAGAACCTGGTGCCATTGGGGCTCCCTGATGATGCTGTGGTGCGTCTGGTTGCTTGGCATTATCATCCGTATTATCATCCGTCATGTGATTGGGTGGTGGTGGTTGGTCATGATGAAGTGGATGAGGATGAATTGCATGAGGCTGGTGTTCATGGACATCCCCATTCTCCTTCCCACCTGGAGTGGAGGGGTGGTCCGTGTTGTCGTCATGCCCTTGGTAGCCATCGGACTTGACTTTCTTGGATGGGCTGCTGTGGCCTCCTTCGTCTTCGTCATCTCCGGGAAACCCAGGTCGCTTCTGCCCAGAGGAAGCAGCAGTCGTACTGGTATCGTGGAGGTTGCCATCATCAAAATCTTCGACGGAGTCTAATAAAGAACAGTACAGTAGAGCAAACCAGAATTCAGAAATTCCAATGACGAGAGAAAAATGAGGATACCCAGCAAAGCAAAACTGCAGCCAACCCAATTGGTTGAATATTACCTACTAGTCATGCACAGTGCATGTCGACAGGGTCACTAGCTCAGTGAAAAGAAGGTTGAAGGGTAGATCCAAGCATGATCGATCGAAGGACCCGCAAACCCGCAACTCAGATCTGAAGAAGCCCAACAAAGCGAGAGACAACACTGCGCTCGTGTATGTATCAGCCAACATCAGCAACAATCCAACAACAACAAATTATCTTACATCAAAAAGAAAAAAAATTGAAATAAAAAGATAATAGATGACCTACCTATCGGAAAATGGCCAATTGGATCCTCATTATTCTTGTTCGGATCTAACGGGGGATCGTCCGATGCCATGATAGATTATATAAGTACCCACTAGCTAGCTGGACTAGTATACGTTAACTGAGCCGCACCCAACCACTCTCCGATGATTGAAACAACCTTTGACGGATCGGCCTCTGAAGAAACAAAGAGAAGACGTTTCCATTTGTGTGGCAATGGCGGCAGCAGTACCCCTTTCGAAACCAGAGAGCGGTGGAGCGGGAGGCGGCATGCGCTGGCGGAATTCTTTGAAAGGTCGCAAAGCTGCTGGTAGTCTAATGACGTCATCGATGCAACGGTCCCAGGATCCTTCTCCCTCGGGATTTGCAAAGATGATAGTGATGCATTGTTCGACCAACTCTGCTCGGATGATGGATGATACCGGTATCTAACTGAACAAACATATTAATACTCTCATACTCTCCACTCATTGCTCTATTGCGCTCCTGATCCTCACCAGAAACAACAATGAGACCACCACTGTCAGTCAAAAGAATCCACCAGCTTTTCAAGGTTCTGATACTTCATGGATCCTTGATATTCTTCCTCCATAATTTGCCTCCCCACGCAATGGCTTGGAAA